GAATAACACTAAGCCTTAAGAAGGAAGGAAATTCTGACACATGCCACAACATGGATGAATCCTGACATTAAGCTAAAGGAAATAAGCCAGTCATAAAAAGACAAATATCATTTGAATCCACTTTTTTGAGTCTTTAGAACAGTCCAGTTGATAGAGACAGAAAATAGAGTGGTAGTTGCCAGGGACTTGGGGAAAAGGGGAATTGGGAGGTACATGTACTATTTTGATTTTGCAAGATGAAAAAAGTTCTAGAGATGAATGGTGGTGATGGTTATGCAATAATGTGAATGTACTTAATGCCACCTAAAACTGGTTTAAATGGAAAATTTTGTTATGTGTATTTTAGCACAATTTAAAAACCCAAGCCTGGACTCTAACCATTTCTCAGTACTGCCTAAGTCTTAGAAAGTTCACTCCTGATGAATATTTGGACCTGCATTTTATTTCTTTTTCCTCCTAAGACAAGACAAGGTCTGCCAGGGTCTGCAGGGCCTTCACACTGGGCAGTGCCCCTGAAGAGGGCAAGGCCCAGCCTCAGGCCCTCAGCTCACTCTCCTGGGAAGAAAATGCTTAGTCTGAGGCAGTCATCACATACTTTACTTATAACAATTGGCAGATGGCTGTGGATCCCTTCTGTTCCCCAGAATCACATTGGGACTAACTGCACTGTGCTTTTTCCTTCACTGATAGCTAATCTGAACAGTGACGTTGGGCATCCTTATTAGTAGGAGAACAGACATAAAGAGAGACGGGAAGTGGCTTGGGCTAAGTCACACGGCAACATTAGAGCTAACCTCACCCTGGGCTCTGTCCCACACACCTGGCAACTCCAGAGTTGCTCCTTGCTGTACTTTGGGCAACAGACTACCGGGCTAACCATGTGGGTCTGACTTGTCTTGCAGAGAAATGAAGCAAATCTTCCTTGGGATGATATTTTGTGATTTTTTTTTATTTCTACTGGTTGCCAGAAGACCAGAGTTCTCTCTAGTTGCTGAGTGACCTTGAACACAACAGAGAAAGTCTCTGGACCCTCAGTTTGCCCTTTAGCAAAATGTAGAGATGGTTTATTGATGCCCCTTCCCTCAGGGAAACAGGGTGAGGTGGGGAGAGGATTGGGACTTAGCGCTCTAATCTACTCTGCAGCATTCTTTGCACAGGGGAACACCAATCCTTGCTGAGCATCACAATTCCCTGGGCAGCTTTTAAAATACAACTGCTGGGATTGGAGATGTACCTCAGTGGGACAGTGTTTGCCTGACATTCCTGAGACCCTTGGTTCCATTCACAGCACAAGGAAAAAAAAAATATCCATGGCCCTTGACCAGCCCAGCTTACAAGGAATTCTCCTTCCCTCACCTAGCCCCCAGTCTGATGGAGCCCCCTTGAGTGGAGCAGCAGCTATTTAAACCCTCTCCCACCTAAAGGCAGCATCTCTGTGCAGTGGGAAACACTGCAGTCTGCCCTCTTTGGGCACTCTCGTGGACACACAGTTCCCCCCGTGTCATACACTGCCTGATATTTTTTACTCAGTTGTTTCAAATCTTTGCCCCTTGTTTTCTCAGTGAGCTACTGGTGGATAAGAAACATGTCATGTCCTAATATGGCTCCACAAGTGCCAGCTCCATTAGCACACAGTGTATTTTCAAGGAATATTTATTGAATTGATGGAAATCTTAAATAATATCTACTTACCCAGAGAGGTGTTCTGTGTCCTTAGGAAACTTTCTGATCACATGGGAAAAAACTGAACAAAGAGACAAGAGCCCGAGGTTCTGATCCTAGCTGTGTCACAAACTTCCACTGTGACCAGCAGCAAGTCACTAGCCTTCTCTGGACCTCATTTGTGGAACCAGAGCTTCTGAGTAAACTTTGTTTTAGTGCTGGGTTTTGGCTGCTCTCTGAAGCAATGGGCAGTCTTTTTTTCTCATGTGAATGGCTTTAATGCCCATGGCACATTTTCTTTAACTCTGTAAGGATTATAAATTGATCCCAGTTTATAAAATGAGAAACTCAATTAGAGAGTCAGTTCACGATTTGGTCAAGCTTCCATACGGTGTGTGAGAGTGTGTGTGTGTGTGTGTGTGTGTGTGTGTGTGTATTCATTCCTCATCCCCAGGTCTCTGGCTTCAAACTGGACTCTGCTATCTCAGAGCTGCTTAGTGGTCCTAAAGACTGATAGCCACTTACTATCTGTCTGGCCAGTTAGGTCTCTCTGCTGTGCAAAAGGTAGGGCAAAGGGGATTGGTTTCTTCTGGTCCCCTGCGCACTACCAGCCAGAAATAAAATGTCCACTGCCATGTTCAGTAAGATCTGTTGAAGCACTGCCCTCTGAGGAGATGAAAGACACAAGACACCAGAGCTTGCTCTCAAGGAGTATCTAATCTACATACATGGAAAGTCAGTACAAGAACATATTGGGCAGCCAGGCATGGTGGTACATACCTGTAATCCCAGCTCTCTGGTAGGTTAAGGCAGGAGGATTGCAAGTTCAAGCCCAGCCTGGGCAAAGTAGTGAGATTCTGTCTCAAAAAAAAAAATTTAAGGGTTGGGGATGTAGCTCAGTGTGAACCCAGGGCCAGCCAACCCCAAAAATGTGGGGCAAAGATGTACTACTATATGTGCAGGAGGACCCAGGAACTAAGTGCTGCTTTGATATATCTTCAATATATAGAACAGTGTCTGGTCCTTAGAAGGTGCTCAACACATATGAAAATGGGCGAAAACTGTCATGGCTTTCAAACTTTTAATTTTAAAGTGAAACTTTTTCTTCAATAACTTTGTGGCTGGAAGCTTGAGACATGAAATACTGCCCCGGTTGAGTGGTGCTAGGGTTGAGTACTGCCTGTTCTGTCCTCAGGGCCCCAAAGAGGTCTTCAGAGCCCAGATGGAAAACCGATGCAGTGGTCAGTGGAAAGGAGGGGTAGTTCAATTCTTTCTCCTGCTTCCCAGTTTACCTTAGCCGCCTGTGATCCTAGCAAAATAAAAAGTTTAAAGAACTAGGTCCTCCACAGGGAATATTTGAATCTAAAAAGAAAGATGTTGTCAACCTTCCCTCTGGCCTCCCCCGGGGAGCTCCTGTTAGTAAGCATAGAGAGGAGGAGATTTTGAGTAGCGGACTTGTCAGTTGGTTCAGATATATATCAAGGTAATGTCTGTTAAAGAAGAAAAACCTGCTGTGGTGAAGTTTTCCAGCACTCACTAGAAACCCATTTGGTGCTATCCTACAGGCTGTTCTGATAATGATGTACAACATAAAACTCCCTGAGGAGCCTGGTCAGTGAGTAGGTGGTGCTGCCTTTCGAACCAGCACATCTTGCGTCACCCAGACAGCTATTAACATGCCTGAGTCAGCCTTGGTGCTTGCAGCTGCCAAGAGGGGCTGCCTGGAGAGGGCATCTCTTCTCCACGCTGCAGGACTGTGACCTTCTGCCTGACCTGACCTTCTCCTTGCTTCCCCATGGTCAACAGCACAAGGGAGAGGATGAGAGGATCAATTCAGGGGGAGCTCACTTGTCAAGGTGGTTCTCAGCTCTCCATCAGGATGACAATTTGGAAAACAGACTATTTCTTAGAGAAAGGATAAAGCTCTTAAATTAAGAGGCTTTAGTCACTATCCATCTCATGGCCCTTTCATATGAATCTCTTTACCTGCTCTATAGACTGCCCTCCTCACAGGTACCAGAAGGAGTAGGTAGACAATTAGTGCTAGGGACCCCATTTGACAGCAAGGGTAACTGAGGGGTGAAACCAGCTCCCAATCAGACAGCAAGTCACCAAAAGCTCCAGCTTCTCCCCTACTGCCTAGCCTGGCCACCTGCACCTCTTGGCCAGTCCCTGGACTGACTTCAAAATCTAGCTCAGACCTGACCCTAAGAGGAGAGACAGTCTTTCCTACTATTGCCACCAATTTATTTAGGATTAAGGGTGACTTAAGGTTGGGGTGAAGAAAAAATCTTGGCAATCAGGAGAAACTAAGACCTGGAAGACTTGCCCCAGATGTCCTGGCAAATCAAGCCGAGTTTTCCTGTGTGTTCCTCATGCCTTTCTGGCTATATCCTGAGCTTCTGTTTCTTTTTTTGGTTTCTCCTTTTGTCTATGTGCTGCTGCCTTTTCCCTTCTGTGCCACTCCCCTTGTCTTCTCTTACCAGACACAGGCTCTAGGTTCAAGGCACAGTACCTGTTCTCTGGGAACTTGGTGTCCACTCGAAGTGGGATAAATGACTTAGAGAGCAAAACATGGATGGAGCCTGCCATCCCCAGCTCTGAAACATGACTTAATTCCAACTCTGATTATCCCTGACATTTGTGCGGAAGTGAAAATGACGACTTGCAGAGTTTAGGTGACACACCTAAGGTCATCCAGCTAAGATGTGGCCACAGGAGGAGCCAGCTGAAGGTCTTCAGGCCCCTGGAGCAGAGCTCTGCTCCAAATCCTGCCCCTGGCACTGCCCAGGACTCACCGCAGCAGGGCAAGGCTAGACTTCGCCTCCCTGTCTGAAGCGGCTCCGCTGACCTTAGGGAAATGTGCAGTCCTTTAGATCTCTAAACTTCTCTGCCCATTTGTGCCTGGGGTTACCATGAAAATGTGAGGGCGGGGGCAGGAGACAAAAAAAGCATGAACCATCAAGTCCCTACTGTGACTTTCTGCAAATGTGCCCCCTAGCCATTGTGAGCCATGCCCCAAGGCAGGCGCCCCGCCCTACCCCTCATTTTGACGCGCAGCGTGAGAAATTGGCCCTCAGGAGCAGTGACCCTGGAGGCCACTCCAGCGCTGAGCTGTGCCAGGATTTGCGGACTTTCTCCGGAGTAGTCCTCTCAGCTTGCGTCTTCCGCCTGCCATTCTCCCACGCCCCCAGAGTACCCACCAAGCCCAGCAGGCCGGCTCTGGAGGCCGCGCCCATCCGGCTGGTGGCTCCCGGGGCAGGGCGCGTCTCCAGCTGGCGCCCGCCGCAGCCCCAGCGCTGTTTCTAGCGCTGGGAGAGATGAGGAGGAGGGTAGGAGGGGCGCCAGTACCTCTCCCGCTGCAAGCCAGAAGCCGGCAAGCACTTTTCCGGGAGTCCCTCACTGCCTAGCGAGCTCTACCCAACTTCTGCGCCGCCCGCCAGACCCGCTGCTCAGAGTCGCTCCTGGCAGGAAGACCGAGAGTCTTCGGGAAGCTGCACGCACCACTTTTGAGGGGCTCCCGAGAAAGGCAGGGACCTGCAGAGGGGTTCCTAGGGAGCTAGGGCAGGGCAGCGGGGTGGGCGGCGCTTCACGAGTACCCACCCAACCCACCTCCCTCCGCAAACAGCAGCCGTCCCCTCGCAGAAGCGGGAGCCTCTGTGTTCCGGAAGACCCTTCGGACCGCACCTGGAGGTACTGGTTTCTCCAGGGAGTGCTGGAGGAGATGGAGGCTAGCGGCTGGCAGAGAGGACCTGTTTGCTGGCCAGTTTGGAGGTGGGATGGGGTGGGGATTGGAGACCGAGAAGCCTGAGAGAGGAGGTTGGTTTCCTCTCCTTCCAAAAAGGAGCCAAGTTGCGGGCGCGGGTGGTGGTGGTGGAGAGGAATAAGTCAGAGTGTAAACACAAACAACCCCCGAAAGAAGCCAAGAAAAGCGAAGCCAAAAGAAGCAAGCGCAACACTGTTACAAAACTGTCTGGTTTTGTAACAATTTCCCCGCTGCTGGCCAATGAGCAGCGTGGTGGCGCGTCACGTGGGCACGTTTTATATAACACTTTGCTGAGACAAGACAGTTATTAGGCGGCGCGGGGCGGCCAGTATGGAGCTCGCGGAGGCGCAGCAGAGCCCCGTGCGCGGTAGCACCGCGGCCGTGGGAGCTCCGATTCCTTCCACCCCTCACTCCTGGATCCGTGTCCTCGGTCCCTAGATGCCTTTCCCGGAGCAGGTCCCTCTCTCAATGGATTCATTTCACACTGAACGGATGTTGAGCTTGCCCGCCGTGCTGGGCAGCAACAACTTAGAGCTGGCAGAGTCAGCGGAGCGAGAGGCAGCAGCGGCTGACGTAGACACGGGTCCCCACCCGGAGGCGGCTACAGAGGGTTCCGAGATGGGAGAGCCTGAGCAAGAGCAGCCTCAGAGGACCTCCTTGACGCCCCCGGAGTGCAAAGTCCTGCTCTCACAGGCCGACGCCTTGGCGTCTGGGGGGCGCCTCCAAGAAGCCCTCGAGATGTACAGACAGCTCTCGGAGCGGCAGCAGCTGGCGGCTGAGCAGCTGGAGCAGTTGGTCCGCTGCCTGGCAGAGAACGTCCCGCAAGGCGAGGCACAGGCGCCCGCGTCGGCTCCCTCGGACAGGAGCAGCGAGACGGGCTGCACCGTGACAGCGGAAGAGGCAAAGGTGGCCGCAGTTGCGGCCACAGAGGTGTGGGATGGCTTTAAGTGCCGGAAGTGTCATGGATTTTTATCAGACCCCGTGTCCTTGTCTTGCGGCCACACCTTTTGTAAACTGTGCCTAGAACGTGGGCGGGCAGCTGACCGGCGCTGTGCGCTGTGCGGGGTCAAGCTTTCGGCGTTGATGGTGGCCACTGGGAGGGCGCGCGGTACCCGGCGGGCTGGGCAGCAGGCGCCACCACCGCTGCGGGTCAACGTGGTGCTCAGCGGCCTCCTCGGCAAGTTGTTTCCGGGCCCGGCGCGGGCGTCGCAACTTCGGCACGAGGGCAACCGGCTGTACCGAGAGCGCCAAGTGGAGGCGGCGCTGCTCAAGTACAATGAGGCGGTTAGCCTAGGTGAGCCTCCACCGCGCAGAGGGCTGGGCTTGGTCACGACGCAGGCGGGCGGAAGAATGACCTAGGCAGAGGGGTTGCGGGGGGGGCCGTGGGATGGACGGTGGCCAGAGTGAAAGAGGAAGATTTCTGAGACTTTGTCTTCCCCATGTGAGTCTTCCTTTACAGTACCCTTATCTCTGTTGGCAGTTTGTTTGTTGGTCTTTTTAAGTGTCTCCTGTTAGCCTATGGGTTTCTATGTCTCTCAGTCTCTGTTTCTGTGTCACCCTGTTCCTCTCTTTCGCTGTCCCTTCTTCTCATCTTTTGTCACTCTGTGTGTTGCTTGGCGTTGCCCTCTCTATTTGTCCGTCTCTTCTCCCTCTGCACTCCTGGGATCCCTCTTAAACCTGACCGCACCTTCCCTTCCAGGAGGCGAACTTCGCACCCTTCCTCTCCGGCCAGCCGGAGATGTCCGGTCGGGCGCCTGCTTCTGTCGCTCCTGCCTCTGAGAGTTGTCCCTTCCGGGGCTGCGGCTCCCCGTGGGGTGGGTCAGGCTTGGAATTAGGTCAGGAGAGCACTGGTTGCATAAGGGCCGCGAGCGGCCCGGGCCAGGCGGCCCCTCCTTCGACCGGGCGGGCGGGCTGGATTGTGTAACGGCTGAGGTAACCGAAGTGGGCCACGCTCGCCTCGGAAACCATCCCGCGAGTGGGGGGGGGGGGGCTCGCGCCCCGCTGCCCTGTGACTCATTGTCACTGCTTCCTATCACAGGATCCTTGGCTAAAATAGATGCCCCCCGCCCCCCTCGCGCTGCCGCTGCCAGCCAGCAGCCCACGCCTGCCTCCAATCCCTTAACCCTGCTGCCAGCCCAGTGACTGGACCAAGCAAGTTCTGGGGGATCCTCTAGAAACATGGGTTGCTTTTGAAGGAGGCGCGCCTGTCCCGCTTTCCGCTGCTGCCTGAAGAAGGCTGGGTGGGCTTTGCAGATTCAAAGGCAAAGTGGGCAGTCCCACACCTCTGGCTGGTCGCATGCACCCGAGTTCTTTAGAGACCTGGTTTACTCCTCCGATCCCCCACCCAGACCTAGGAAGTGGCCGCCAAACCACCGGCGGAATCGCCCAGCTCAGGCAGCCTGCCAGCAGCTCTCCTGGCCAGCGCGGAGTCTGGCGAAGCATGGCAGGGAGGAGGCGGCAGGCAGGGTTGGGCAGACTGGTCTCTGGGTTCCTAGGGTGCCCTGGGCTAGACTCTGATGACTGGAGGAGAGGTGGGCTGGAGTCTCCACCTGTTGAATGTCCAAACTTGCAACAGGTAATAGGGGTAAGGAGATGAACAGGGCTCACTGGGCAAGGCAGCTGACTGAAGGACCCTACCATCTCTCTGAGCCCAGGCAAGGCAGGCTGTAAGGTGCCACTGGGCTGGCATGTGCTGGAGAAGAAAAGGGGCAGGAAAGTCTGTAAACACTTTGCTAATGTCTTAAGAGCAAGCAATGAGCTCCCAAGTAAGCCCTGAGCCTACTCCTGGGGAAAACCCCATCAAAGTCTGTTCCCAGCAGTAGAAGCTGAACCCAGAGCTGGGAGGAGAACAGCACATTATGAATGAAACAGGTAGGGGCCACTAGGCCACTACAGCACAGATCTCCGAAGGAGGGCCCATTACTTTCAGCCCTCCCCACCCAGGGTCTTCCAGTACCTTTGTTAACCACCCCTCCCAGCAGCAGTCAGGGAAAAACTTTCAAGACCAGCTTCCCTCTTCTGAGAGAAAGAGGGGCCTCCCCAACAGAGCACTTTTGTTCTGGAAAATGGCCAGTGTCTCACTTTTCTAAATACTATACCCATCTTCAGAAAAAGAGGCCCCCCCCATGCTTTAAAGGTGCAAAGTCTGACCAGTTAGCAGTGACTCTGACTAGTTACTGTGTGATCTTGAGCAGATCTCATCCCCTCTTTGGCCTTGATTTTCCCCATCTGAAGAATGGGTTTATTGACTCAGATGATCTCTAGAGGCCTATCCAGCCCAGAGTGTGGGCGAGAATCAAGTTCATTTTATTCCCAGAAGCCTTGTCCGGATTCATTCACATTTGGCCATCTGTAATGGGAGGACAGGACCTTGTAAGTCGATTTCCATATCCTTCAGGGAAGCTTCACACATGCTGGAGTTGCTAATGTCATCAGTTACCTCACCTGCAAGAGTAACATTGTCTTGACTTGTTGAGGCTCAGGCTAGGGATCACATCTGGCTACCTGTCTCTGTTCCCTAACTGGCTTATTCTCTTGTTGGTGATATGTCCCTCAGAAGCCAGGCTGCCAGGCACCAACTGTGTGTAGCCAAGAAGCAGGGTGCTAGAGTTTCCTCTAAGCCAAAGTTCCTGATGCACCACGAACACCACAATGCCTCTGAAGAACTGCTTGAAAGGAGGAGGGAGGATTTACTTTTTTGCAGTTGGGGAAACTGACCTGGAATGGCTGGCAGTGCGGCAGGCAGGACTATATTAGGACTGGACATAGAGCCTAACCCTCTGGATCCTTGGTAGAAAAAATCCTAGATAACTTGTCATTTGCTCAACTTATCAAAAATCCTAGATAACTTGTCATCTTCATACAAGACTTACCATGTGCTTATGCTAGAGGTCATTAATGACAGCTCTTTTATTTCTCATTTTGGCAGCTCCAAATGACCACTTGCTTTATAGCAACAGGTCTCAAATTTATTTCACCCTGGAATCTCATGAGGATGCACTGCATGATGCAGAAATAGCATGTAAACTCCGCCCAATGGGTTTTAAGGTGAGTGTGGAACAGGGGGCATGGGAAGGGGTTGTATTGTACACAGGAGGTGGCAGGAAAGACCACCTCCCTGGAAGGTAGGGGCACTAGAACTTAAGTAGAGCAGAGAGGAGACTTTTCAAAAGAGCCAGGGTGTGGGGCATCCCTTGGCAAAGGGTGCATCAAATTTGCAAGGAAATTAGATTGTTCCCTAATTTTATCTTCAAGTGGTGACCTGCACAATAGCCTGGGCTTTGTGACTCTCCAGAATATAGAATTGGGATCCAGACTTGAGTCAATGTCTGAATTCTGCTACTTTTGCAAGCTGTGTAGCTTTGGGCAAATTACTTAACCTTTCTGTGGTTCATCTCATCTATAAATGTGGATATTCAAAGCACCTACTGTTGTGATGAGGAAGGTATGAGTTCATTGGGGAAGACACTTAGAACAGTACCTGACACATAGCATTATATAAGTGTTTCCTGTCACCATCATTTTTCAAGGAGAGCAGAAAGAGAGTGAGAGAAGGATGCCTGGACTGGCCTTCCTGGATTAGTAGCATCCAGCTTAGGAACTCTGCCAGCTTTCTTTGGTGAAATCCCCACACTCACACAATGATTGTGCCATTCTGAGTCCTTACTAGAATCAGCCGACCTGCTGGTGTCCCCAGACATCTAGGTCACGTGGGAAGAAAGTCAGGCTAGATATCTCTCAGGATGCCAGGATACAAATGTCAATTTCAGGATCTCTGCCTGGCCTCGGGACGCATGTCAATATTTTGCTTAGGCTCGGTTTGAGACTGGGCTGTACCACTTGCAGCCAAGGTGACCAGGGCGGAAGTGGCTTTACTCTCTGAAACTCAGCTGTCATTAGTTGTAAAACACAGCTATTGCTATCTACCCTGATTGCTTCATAGGGATGTGTTAGGATCAAAGGTGAGTGTGGGGAGAGAATATTCTGCAAGCTACAAAGCTTGCTAGGTTTTATGAAGTGCTTTCTCTGCACAACTCTGGGGCTGGAAAACCACCTTATTCAATTCTGGGGCCTTGATGCATTATCTTGATGCATTGTCTGAATCTCATGGGACCGGATGTATTCAGAATCCACAGTGTTTCTGATTGTGGGAGGGCCATATATGTGCTAATACCCTCATTGAGCTCTAGACAGTGTCCCAGTCACACCAATCAAGCACACTGTCTCTGCAGCAAATTAGGTAAAAATTCACACTAAGTAGGACAAATACTTTACATTAGTTTAGGTCAGGTTTTGTCACCTAATGAATTTTGAGGTCAAGCTTTGAAAATATTGGATTATCGGAATTTGGGAGGGGGGATCTGGGAACTTCAGATAAAATATTATGGACCAGTATATTCTGCCAGTGATGTCGGGGTGAATCTCATGTGTTCTTTCATGAGAGTTATCACAAATGATGATGGATCAATCATGTTCTCCTTCTGAAGGAGCACATTTGGAGTTTAGTACAAGCCGCCTGTGTCTTCGCTGAAAGGAGCTTGGCGGCGGTGGTGGTGGTAGGGTTGAGGCTTTCCAGTCCTATAACTCTGGGAACTTCCTGGGGATAGAGCAACTTTCTCCTCTCTCATCCTAAGCCTAGGACCAAGGACCTTGGTATCATGGTGGGAAGCAGGACTGAGGAGAGTTTGGATTAAACGGGAAAAGTGACTTCCTTGATGAAGGAACCGTTGGTGCAAGAATTAGGCAGAAGTTTCACTTTCCCATAGTTGTGGGGTAAGGAGGAGGGTGGTGATGAGGGTACTGTGTTATCTTGGGGGTTGACAGAACTGACACATATAAGTCAAAAGCATTTCACATCTCAATTTGCATGTATCCTACCATTTGGATATGCAGTGTCCCAGGGGAGGGGTTCACCTGCCAGCCCTACTCTAGCCTTCTGACCAGGGCCCAAAGTACTCAACACACCTTGCAGGTGGTACAGTTCTCAATGGGTTGCGGTGGCTGCTCTGCACATATGAGTTGCCACTTGATTGATTAGTGGAATCCCAGAAGCCTTTCGAGTCCTCCAATTCTTGTGCCTTTTACCCTGCAATGTCACAGAAGCCTTTCTCCAGAAGTCCCTGATAAACACTGCTGGGAGGAGCAACAAGAGAGGACAACAGCATCCACTTGTCAGCCAAGATTAGGCTCCAGAAGGAGGTGGAACCCTGGGGCTAGATCCCCCAAGAAGTTTTAGCAGGGGCCACTGCTCAAGAAGGCAGTTCCCAGCCATCCCCAAGGAAGTGCCCAGCACTGTCCTGAGGCTCAAAGACAAGGCAGCTCTCTCCCTTATCTTTTCTTCTTCCTCTCTCTTCCCTAGAATGCTGCTCTGCTCTCTCTAGTCTCTTCCAGGGCACTTGGGCTTAGAACCTGAAGAGCCCCCAAATTGCTGTATGTTTTTAAAAGATGTGGCAAGGCAGCCGAAGTGAGCAAAAGCATTGACTCAGCCAATGAGTAGCCTTCTGAGGGTCACTGTGCTTTGTGGGGAAGAGCAGTGTGGGAGTCCTGAGACCACAGTTCTAGTTCCAGCATTGCCACTAGCAACCTCTGTGATCTTGGAGAGGTCATGCTCATTCTTTTGCTTCTCTTCTGAGAAATGATCAAGCAAGCCACTGTGTTGACCAGGTCTCTCCTTGACAGACTAGTTCAGAGGAAGGCAATATCCAGATGGACCTTGGCATGCTGGTTAAAAATTTGGGCTTTGGTGTAGTAAGTTCCAGGTTCAAGCTCTGATGCCACAATTTACAAGCTGTGTTTCTTGGGCCGAGGTACACTCGTGGATCTCAGTTTTACCTTCTTTAAAATGAGACTCAGAACAGTTGCCTACATTAGAGAGCTGTAGATGAAAGAGTGCTTTTAAAACATTTCACAGATTAGTGATTGCTCAGACAGTACTCAGCAGTTGTCACGAATAGTAGCACCATTAATGATATGAATAAGATGGGATTGAAGGGTAGTGTTTTCTTCCAGGCACACTTCAGAAAAGCGCAGGCCTTAGCCACCCTAGGCAAGGTGGAGGAAGCCCTGAGAGAGTTTCTCTACTGTGTATCCCTTGATGGAAAGAACAAGAGAGCAAGATCTGAAGCCCAGAGGGTGAGTAGGAATTGGATCAGGTCCAGCTGCCTAGTGGACCCCCACCACTGTGTCTTCTCTAGGGAGGAGAATGAGGGTGCTGCCCTCTCTGATATTTGGGGTTCTCAGGGCGTGGTTCTCTGGGGATAGGGGACAGGAGGGAGACAGGAGTACCTATTAATAGCCTAGAAACGCTATCCTCCTGGTGTGTACAATCAGATTGGGCATTCCCTGCATTTTGGTAGGAGCCTGGGAGAAATGTTTCTCTGACTCATAGTCTGGATTATCAATAGGTTATAAAACCAAACTAAACCAGATAAATTAACCTGAGGAATGAGATTTGCTGAGCACATTCTGGCTGTTGATGAGAGATTGGAGGTGTGAGCATTTGTATAACGTTTCTTTGGCTGAATGACAGTTTTAACACCCACATAGGGTGGCCAGCTCCTGGGAAGGGGCATTGATAGCACTCACTTCCCTTGCTATAAATAGAACTCTAACCTTTAGCTCCTTTGCTAGAAATTAAACAGACTGTCTCACAAATGCAAGCCAGAGACCGTTAATATATTCCAAATAGTTCCAACTCTTGGGTCCCAGGAGAATGTGGTTGTCATGAAAAAATTGCCTGCAATAATGAGAGCATTATTTAAGGGTCAAGCATCCTCAATTCATAGACTTCACTGTTTATTGTTTTGCAATGTACTCTCCTGGTGTCTGGCTAACTGGCCTGGAAGTTGGATGCTGATAGTCAGTGGTCATCTGTGCTCTCCTGTGTCCAGCCAGCTCCTCTCCACCAAGCCACAACCACTTCCATCTCTGTGTGGTTTGGTAGGGCAGTTGGTGAAGAAAGTGAGAAAGACGTGGGGCTAGTTTCTGAAGGATCTGTGAAGGAGTCTTTTGCAAACTTGATAAACTTGGTGGAAGCTGGGCTTTAGGTTTTCTGACTCTAAGGCAGAATTTTCTCTCTGGGAAGTTGCTTTGACCTAGTTTGGGTATGTGGGCAGGGTTTTCTTTCTTGATTTCTTGCCTGCTTTCCTTCCCTTCCTTCCTTCCTTCCTTCCTTCCTTCCTTCCTTCCTTCCTTCCTTCCTTCCTTCTTTCTTTCTTTCTCTGGTACTAGGGATGGAACTCAGGACCTTGCACTTCGAGGCAGGCGCGGCACCACTGAGCTACATCCCTGGCCCCAAGCAGGGTTTTCTTGAGAGGAGAATAGGTCATGGAGAATTGCTCCATGCTATGGACTGGTCACAAAATGTTAAGTGTTGTCCATGGTGTGAGTAATAACATTTCATGAGGATTTTCTAAGCCTCAGGCACTGTGCTAGGTGCTTTGGGTGGAAGATATGATTTAATCCCTGCAACTTCCCTATGAGGGTAGGTACTTTTTATTATTTATCCCCATGTTTTGGATGAGATGGATGAGAAAGCTGAGGCTTGATGACTTTCCTAAGGTCATGCAGTTAGTGATTGGTGGGAAAACATCAAAATTCAACTCCCGTCTGCTGACCAAGCCTATCCTCTTAGCTACTCCAACATCCTGCTGTCCCAGGAGGATATGTCTGGAGTTTGGACGCTGACTGCTGAGGTTGGGTCAAGAGTAGCAATGGAACTATCCAGTTCTGGGATGGACAGAGGCAATTAGAAGAGCCTTGTTTTGGGGGACAGAGTATGCAAAGGCTCAAAGAGCCAGGTCTTGGCTCAAGAGGAATGGTGTCTTCTCCTCTGTTGATTCCCCAGTTGGCCTGAGGGGGATTGGTATCATCTGTTGGACTGATCCCTCTCTCTCTCTCTCCAGTTTGCTTTTATAGATTGGCTATTGTTGTTTCCACATCGGCCTAATGGAATGAGAGGCAGGATGTGGGAAGCTCTGGAGACAAAATGAGGCATAAGCCCCAGCCTTGGTCCTCAAGGAACTTACAATGTTGTGTTTGTTAATGTGAATGTCAGACAATGCTAGTGAGATATGCCTGTGATGTGTGTTACAGAGCTCTGAAGCTAGCAGAGAACTGAGAGGCAATTTCCAGGGAGTGTGATAAGGCCGCGGCAGCCATTTAAGAACACTGCGGGGCCTCGCTGTGCTTGTTTCCTGGATTGTTCCAGTTTCAGGGCTACACATTTGATGAAAATGGTCCAAATTCACTTGGCATTAGAAAGCTGGCATAGAACTCACATCCTTGTATTTCTTTTGGGGGTTTGTTTTTACCTCCAGTTTTTTTTTCTTTCCTTCTCAACTCAATTGGGACTTTCTAAGGCTGAAACTGAAGTGAAATTGACTTTCATTCATGTGGAATGATTCCTCTCGCTGAGAGTTGACCCTGACTTTTGTTTTGCAAAGCCTTAGAGAAGGCCTAGAGAGATCTTAGTACAGCTAAGAAGGAAACTACTGCTTGTTGTTTCTCTTGTTTCCTTTCATTTCTTCCCTGGACTTCCTTTTCCCTCCCACCTCCCTCTGCCCTTTCATCCTTGTACCTTGGGAGGCTGTGTGGCTGGCACTGAAAAATTTCAGGCTCTGTGGGTGAGAATTCTAAGGAGACTGCCTCAGAAGTGTTACTCATTAGAGCTGCTGAGGGCCAACTTGGCTCCTTTGGAGGAGGGGCTTCTGAAAGGTGGCATCTATGTCTCTGGGATCTAAGAGTAACTTCTAGCTCACTCATTTTCCAACTGATACCTGAGGAATGGGCTTTCCAGAGCAGGAGGGAAACATAGGGACCCATCTGAGGACTTTGAGCCTGAATGCTAGGCTTCTCCTTGGGCCCTGAGATGGATAAGTGTCTTAATTCAGTTCCATCCAGTGTGATGAATATTGGGCAGTTGTCCTGTGCCTTCCAGGAGCTGATCATCTGGCTGGAGAGAAAGACATATTTGTGATACAATGTCAGGATGGCAGAAGAAGGTGTAATTTAGAGGGCTCTTAAATGATGCAGTAGAGAACATGACATGGAAGGCAGCACTTGAGGTGCGCTTTGAAGGCTCAGCAGGGTTTGAGTTCATGTTAAGTTCCGGCATCTGAAGCAACATTGTGAAGAAACTGCTAATGGCCAGGAAGAGAATAAATTAAACTGGAGTTTGGGGTTCTAACAAGTTCTCCTGATCATGACTACGTAGCCTAAACAAGGTCATGGGATTTCAAATTCTGCAGAGCCTGCTAGGTGGTAATCAGTTGAGTAAGTTTCAGAGGTCCAATGTCCTGGTCTCTTTGTGTTATGAGATAGACAGATGATTGATAGATAGATAGATAGATAGATAGATAGATAGATAGATAGATAGATAGATAGATAAAATCCCTGTTGGTACTGGGGAGAACTGAAGCAAGAATCTGATAGCTAATGGTACTGCCTGTACTCCAAAGCATATCTTTGCCTCCCAGTCTCTTCTGTTTCTTCCCACTCTACCCTCCCAGTATTTGTGATTACAAGGAAAACCAGCAATAGACTGGTATCTGCCTCCCCTGGGTACTTGAATTTAACCTGAGATTTTTCTGGAAAGTGAGTACCAGAACTGGACAGAGGCTAGAAAAAGAGGGAGGAAGTTTGAGTTCTGCTTTCCTAATACTTCACTGCTCAGGTCCTCAGCTCCAAAGGGATGAAAGATCCAGGGGTAAGCCAGATGTGGTAGCACATACCTGTAATCTCAGCACTCTGGGAGGCTGAGGCAGGAGGATCACAAGTTTGAGCCCAGTCAGGGTAACTTAGTGACTTATAGAAACCCTAGCTCAAAAATAAAGGGGGCGGGGCCTGAGGGTGTAACTCATTGTGAAGGGCATGGGTTCAATCCTCAGTACCACTAAAAAAACTTCAGAGGTGATGGTGAGATGGGTGGAGAAAGAAGCAAACTAGACAGAGAAAAGGAGCTGTGAGGAACCTTGAAAACATTTGTAGGCTGCTACCCACTGGGGAATTATTGATGTGACTCCAAGTTTCCCAACTGAGGTTTATCTCCTGGCTTCACCAGTCTGTTTCTTTCCTTCCAAGATAGGTTTTAAGATCCTACTGGAAGTTTTTCTGTGGAATGATAGCACCAAGGGGTGGCTCTGAACCTTGGATGGGTAACAGAGGCATCTGCAGTGCCTTCTCAAAGTCCAGACTCCTGGACCACACTTCAGACCTGGGAGAGACAGAAGTGGGGACTAGGAACTTGGCTCTTTCATAAGCCCCTCAGATGATTCTGATGTGTGCTGAAGTGTCCAGGGACGTGGTTTGTCCAGGGCTTCCTCCCTGCAGTTTTGCCCTGCAAGCTGTGCCCCTGTCCCCTAACCCTACCCCCTTCATCTGAGCACCTGTAGAAACTTAAGTAGTGAAGTCTTCTGTTTTATGTCACAGCTTCTCCTTAGTTTCTTTTCACCATCAGTCCCGGGGGATTCTCAGGAACATTCTCCCGATATCCTGAAGCTGTTGGCACCTCACCTTAGATTAAAGGAACACGTAGAGTCAATGGCTACTGAAGGCACCAGCCATAATCTACTAAAGTTGTCACAGGTAAAATTCAACTCACCCAGCTCTTTGTGACGCTTCGTTTGGCTGTTTTGTGGGCAAAAATGGGGAGTGAGCCCTACCTCTCCTACTCTGGTTCCTGAGAAAGAAGAAATGGAGTCCATAGTAGCTGTGTTCTTTGCTAAGAAGGTTACTTCTTAAAGATAACAATTCTGAATTTCAGGGATGGACCTAACATTTCTTTCTTTATTTATTTTTTAGTTCTTGGTCAGGTCCAATCAAGAGAGAAATTTGACACAACTATAAAAGGATTGGCCCACTTCCCCTGGAGCCATAAAATTGGGGTGGGCTTACTGGCCACAGCTTTGAGGCAGAGCCTGGGTAGAGGGCCTAACTGCCCCTCCTTTCCTGCTTTTTGTCTGTTCAAGCTACAGGCCTTTGAGCTCTAGCTAAGATCCTTGTGTAAGGACAGCTCCTTCTGATTCCCCAAGTGGAGGTAATTTCATAGTCCTGCACTATATCTTGTGTATAAGAAGGCTTCCAATGCATATTTTAGCAGAGAAAAGGAAAGAGATTTGGGAAGACTTTAGAGTTGAAGTTCTTAAAAGGAAGACAGTATTTGTGCTTTTCTTTGAACAGAAGGGAACAGAACACAGAAGGATGGACTCCAGGTGTTGGCTTTCCTATCAGAGTGTAAGTGGACAGAACGTGGGACTCAGAAGTCCAAACTCTAAGGCAGAATTTAAGATAGTATTTTTTTTGGTACCGGGAATCGAACTCAGGCCCTTGCTCTTGCCAGGCATGTGCTGTGCTGCTGAGCTACATCCCCAGCCCTCTAAGGCAGAATTTAGCACTGAATACCCCAAGTACCTTGGCGGGGGGTACTTTCCTTTCCTTTGTGCCCAAAGTTCTTAACTTATGTGTAAGCCCACTAGGTAAGCCCCGGGCATTCAAATTTCGCTTTTCTGTCCCTGCTCTAGAGAAGGAGTAAAATGCAGATATGCCTGACTTTTAAAAAAAGGCAGATCTTGAAGTATGCCTTGAAATCTTAGAGTCCCCAGTGGTCAATTTTACATGATTGTGAAGGTTAGTACTGAACCCAAGTGCCTGGAGTCACTTCTCCTTGCAGCTTACTCTGGCTCAGCAAAATGAACCAGATGAGGAACAGAGGTTGGACTTCCACCTGACTTCCTTTTGCAAGGCAGTGCACGCTTGTGCAGACAATGCCTTGGGCTCATGGAAGGTCAAGGTATTGCTATAGGACTGGGAGATCCCTGAATTCCCCAGGTTAGACGAGAAAAGTCACATCCTATTTCTTCTTCACTGTTTTCTCCCAACTGTATGCTCCCCCCTTTTCATGTGTGTATGGTAGCAATTTTTTGGTTGGAGGGGAACCAATAAGATGAACATTTTCATCTGTGGTCTATGGATTTAGATTAAAGTAAGTCCCTGATTTACAAACGAGTTCTGTTCTGGGAGAGTTGCTCATACGTTGCATTCATTCATAAGCTGACAAAGTGAGTCTTATACAGTACACTTTTGAAAGTTCGCAACTAGAATATTTGTAAGTCAGGGTCTTATTATATAGAAAGGTTTTCCAGGTAAATCTACATAAACATATTGTCATCAGATTTCTTTCTAAATTCATTTTCAAATATTCCTCTCCTGGATAAAAATTCTTTAAAAAGAATTTTTAGAGACATATGGATTGTTTTGCCAGATGATTCTGTCTCTTTTGAGACTTTTAACCCAAGATCTAGTAAAAGGAATAGGTTGTCCCTTGTTCACTTAGTCAGTATAACTTACAGCTCTGGGCATGAGGGGACTTGGCAGGCCTGTAAACAGACCAAGACCAAAGACTTAGCAAAAGTCCTTTAGGGTCTGGAGTTTGGAAATTGCAGATGGCTCTGAATGGCCTTCAGGGTGAGAAGCATTGAGTGACAGTACCTACCCTCACTGCATGCCTTGGTTTCCCTAAAAGTGTTGCTGGGGAATGATTTGGATAGGAGGGGGAGGAGGGCTTTCCCCCTGCCAAGGGTGTGTCTCCTGCTATGTGCCTTTCCTCCTTGCCTAGGGAATTTCCCTAACTCTGCCCAAGTTGGGCAGGCCTTTGTTGCAGACACTGTGTGGACTGGAAGTGGGAATAAACCTTATGACTGCCCCGCAGTTGGGCTATGTGTCCACTAAGTGACCAGTAGTGAGGATCAGGGCTATGTATTTTTCTTTTTGTCACCTCTGGGTAAGAATATTGCTCCTAAGTAGAGTCTGATATTTGGTTCTTTCTTCATCTAGGAAAATCCAGAGCTCCCTCATTGCTCTAATCAGAAGGAAGCATCAGCCAGCAGAGATGGCAGCAGTCTAATGAACACTGCTAAAGTACGAGCGGATGGTCAGCAAGACAACATGAAAGAACAGGAGGAAGAAGAGGAGAAGCAGGACACTGCCTCTGCAGATACTGCTTCCATCAAGTCTGGAAAATGCCAGGAAAAGAAAAGGAAACACTGCCAAATTGAACTCCGAGAAGACACGGAGGTGTTTAATAAAGCCTACAAGCAAGGTAATGACTCTACCCAAGGAGAAAGTAGCTTAGAGGAGATGCCTGGGCTCACCAAGTTCCCCTCTATCTGAGGGCACCTCTGGCTCTGGGTGTGTGGCCCAGCTTTGGCGTTCCCAGCCGTGCCACATCAGGAGTTTCTGTGAGGTTTCTGAGATCACACATGGGACCTTGTACATTGTGAGCACGCAGTGTTAATTATCATAGAAAGCCAAGACATAAGATCCAGCATAGTATTAAGTAATGACATCCCATGCCTTTGACAGTCTCTCTTCCTTGTAGGCCAACTCTCTCCACCCTCATCCCGGTCCAGGAATATAGGATGGGGTCATTCAGTCAGGCCTTACTCTGTTGTATTCCCCTAGGTAGGCATCTGAGAAGCAGTAGCTGTAACTTGAGATCTTTTCAAGAGAGGTTAGCAGTGCCAAAATTCAATCCTGGTTTTGAAGGCCTGGTTCAGTCCTTCAAATTGCTGGAATTGCTGCTGCTGCTGCTGCTGCTATTCCTGCTGTTGAGTGAGGTGCCTGTCATACTTCCAAGAAGTCCTCAGGGCTCCTGGAATGTGCCTGGCTTTCACTTCTCTATGGGGACTGCTGGAAACCTCATCCCAATCTCAGTGGCTCAAGTGGCCACTAAATAAACTACTGGGGAGGTGGCAGCTGTGGCAAATTGGAAAATGATGGGTTTTTTTGGTCTCAGAAGTACTATCTGTGAAACCAAGGTTTGTGTATCTCTGACTTATTGCTTTCTAAATCACAGATCTTCCCACCGATCAGGGGGCCAAAGCTGCTCTCAGTATTCCACTTGCATCTTTTGATGCCTCTGACCTTGAATGCTCCCTGTGTATGAGGTATGTGATACCTGATAGTTTTTCCTCTCTTATGCCTGTGTCTTTGCCCTGCTGGCCTACTGTTAGGTTGATTGCTGCATGAAAGCATGGTTCTGACAAAATAGAAATCACAACATTGTCACACGGCACAGTTTGTATCCCCTACTTACAGACTATTTTCCCTGTATCCTGGTCTCCTGCCTTGGAAATACCTGGAGAAGGAAAAGGGAACAATCTTTTCAGAGGTCACAAGCTGAATGTCTTTTGTTCGGCTTTCATGGGGTTTGCTTTTGTTAAATATGAATGTCTTGAGCAAGGATGCCACTTTGAACTTGGTCAAGCCCCCCCACACACACACACTGCCTTATATCAGCCTGTCTCACGTCTACACGATTTTCCTTGACCCCAATAAGTATTTATGTTTGTATCTGTGGGACTAACCTTTACTGGATCAAGGGTTAAAAGCTCAAGGGTTAATATCAGTGCCAAAGGCCTATTCTTTGGAAGCCAAGTAGAGAGCCTAACTAGATTGTCTTTAAAATGTGCCATGAATAATAGTAGCAGGTGCGAGATACTTAGCAAAGCATTTCCCCTCCAACTAGTGCCATATCATTTCTGCTTTCTCAGATTTCTAGAGAGGCCAATTAAACACATCTCCCCACTACAAAAAAAGAGAAACATAGTGGGATTATGGTCTGTGTAGCCACATTCAATATTTAAAAATAGCATTCATTTGTTTTATTTCACACCTATGAATTTAGTGGCTAAGAGAAGAGACTTCCAAAGTCAGAATCCTAGCTTTGTCCATTTACAGGCTGTTTGTCCCGGAGGAAGTGACATTCTCTGCCACTCTTTTCTTGCCAGTAAAACAGAGAACAGTAGCACCTACCCCATGGGGTTGTTACGATTAATTGAAAAAAGTAGCTCAATGGTATAATGCTTACCAAGTATATGCAACGCCATGGGTACTGACAGAGAGAGGTGGGGGAAGAGAGGGAAGGAGGGAGGGAGAGAAAAGAAGAGGAAGAAGGAGGAGAAAGAAAAGAAGTTTATTTAACACTTAGAATATTGCACGACAGATAATGAATATTCTATAAATGTTAACTAGTTTTCTTTCCTAGACCAAATTTCTTAACATTAGGTCCATAGACTCCTGAGGAGATTCAATATATGGATTCTAACAAAAATAGGAAATCACTGAAGTTGTATGTAAAAGTGTGTGTGTGTGTGTGTGTGTGTGTGTGTGTGTGTGTGTGTCCAGGACAACGGTCCACACCTTTCGGTAGATTCTGTATGTCTATTTTCCAAAACAGCATTGAAAGGAGGCTGAGACAATTGCACAAAAGATGTTTGACCCGAGAGAAAAGGTGTCAAGAGGAGGCTTTTGGTTCACTACACATTGGGAGCCCCCTAACTCCAGTACCTCAGAACTCTGCCCAGCAGTCTTTCATTAAAATTAATTTTACTGATACATTTTAGATATTCAATATAATGACATTCATCATTGAAAATTTGTACCTTTACGTAATATATATTGATTCTTATTTTTCCCCCTTCCCCTGCCCTCCCTTCAACACATCCATCCCTCCCTATTTACAAAGACTTTGGTTCCATTTTTTCCCTTTTCTCATATTAATTCCATTCCCTTCTTCCTTTCCCCTACCCCTCCCACTTCCCCTTCCCCTTTGCCCCTTTTCTTCCTATTTCACATTATCTATTATACATTTTGATTCTTATTTACTCTTTCAGTTTCTCACACCAGAGAAACTATTCGGTATTTACACATGTGTGTCCTATTTATTTCACTTAATTGTATGGCCTCAATGTGGATCTATTTAGCTATAAATGTCTCTAGTTTCTCATTCTTTATGGCTGAGTAGTGCTCCATTTTATAAAAAAACTCACCACATTTTCTTTATCCAATCTCCAGTTGATGGGCAATTGGGCTGTTTCCAAGTTTTAGCTATCACAAACTGTGCTGCCATGAACATGGGGGCACATATATCACTGTGGTATGATTCTTTTAATTCTTTGTGGAAGATAGCCAGCAGGGGAACAGCTGGGTCAAATGGGACTTCCAGTCCTAGTACTTTGAGGTATCTCCATACTGATTTCCATAGTGGTTGCACCAGTCTACACTCCCACCAGCAGTGGAGCAGGGTTCCTCTTTCCCCACAGTCCCGCCAGCATTTGTTATTGGTTGACTTCATGATAGCAGCCATTCTTTCTGGGGTGAGGAGGAATCCATCATTGTTTTCATTTGCATCCCTCTAATGACTGGTGATGTTGAACATTTTTTCATATATTTATTTGCTATTTCTACTTCTTTCTCTGAAAAATGTCTGTTCATTTAAGATCTCCATTTTTGAATTGGGTCTTTATATTTGGGGGATGTGGTTGTTTTGAGTTCTTTATAGATTCTACATAGTGGACCTTTGTCTGAGGAACAGCTGGTAAAATTTTTTTCCCACATTGTGGGTTGTCTCTTCACGCTGTTGGTGGTTTCTCTCGTAGTGCAGAAGCTTTTTAATAAGATGAGATCCCAGTTGTTGATTCTCTGTGCTAGTTCATGTGCAACTGAGGTATTGTTCATGAAATCTTTTCCTATACCAATGTCTTCAAGAGTTCTACCTAACCTCTGTTCTGGTCAGTTAAGTGTTTCTCTTTTAATATTTACATCTTTAATCCATTTCAATTTTAGTTTAGTGCCTGGTGAGAGATATAGGTCTAGTTTTAATCTTTGGCAAGTTGAAACCCAGTTTTGCCAGCACCGTTTATTAAAGAGGCTATCTTTCCTCCAGTGAGGGTGTTTGGCTCCTTTATAGAAGATGAGACGACTGAGTGTGTCTCGCGTTGTTTCTGCATCTTCTAATCTGTTCCACTGATCCTCAGGTCTGTTTCTTTGCCAGTACCATGCTGTTTTTATCACAGTAGCTTTGTAGTATAGTTTCAAGTTGGAGATTGTGATACCCCCTACCTTGTCTTTGTTGCCTAGAATTGCTTTTGGTATTCCAGGTCTCTTCTTGTTCCAAATGAAGTTTTGGATTGTTTTCTTAAGGTCTGTGAAATATACTGCTGGAATTTCAATTGGGATTGCATTGAATCTATATAGAAGTTTCAGAAGTATGGCCATTTTCACTCTATTGGTTCTTCCTACCCAGGAACAAGGGATGTCTTTCCATTTTCTGATATCCTCTTGGATCTCTTTTTTCAGAGTGCTACAGTTTTCAGAGTAGAGGTCTTTGATTTATTTTGTTCAGTTGATTCCTAGGTTTATCATTTTTGGGGATGCTGTTGTGAAGGGAGTTGTTTCTCCAGTTCCTCTTTCAGTGAGTCTGTTGTTCGTTTACAGGAAAGCTATTGATTTTTGTGTGTTGACCTTGTATCCAGTTACTTTACTGAACTTGGTTATTAAGTCTAGAAGACTTTTGGTGGAGTTCTTAGGGTCTTCTATATAGAGTATCATGTCACCTGCAAATAATAACAGTTTAATTTCATTTCCTATCTTTATTCCTTTTATTTCTTTTTCTTGTCTAATTGCTGTGGCTAATGTTTCCAGAACTATTTTGAACAGGAATGGTAATAGTGGACATCCTTGTCTTGTTCCTGATTTTAGTGTGAAGAATTTCAGTTTTTGACCATTTAGTATGATTTTGGCTGTTGGTTTTTCATAGATGGCTTTTATCAGGTTGAGGTAGAGACCATCTATTCCAATTTTTGGTAGGGTTTTTATTATGAATGCATGTTCAATTTTGTCAAATGCTTTTTATGCATTTATTGAGATCATCATATGGTTTTTGTCCTTGACTCTATTAACATAGTGTATTACATTTATTGGTTTTTGTATGTTGAACCATCCCTGCATCCCTGGGATGAATTGCACTTGGTCAGGGTGTATGATCTTCTTGATGATCTTCTGCATTCTATTTGCCAGTATCTTATTAAGGATTTTTGCATCTATATTCATCAGTGAGATTGGCCTATAGTTCTCTTTTTGGGTTGCGTCTTTCTCTGCTTTGGGGATCAAGATGATCCTTGCTTCCAGGAATGAATTTGGGAGTATTGCTTCCCTTTCAGTTTCACTGAAGAGTTTAAACAGTAGTGGCAATAGTTCTTCTCTAAATGTCTTGTAGAATTCAGCAGTGAAGCCATCAGGGCCCATCTTCCCAGCAATCTTTAGTAGCTGAAAATCCTTCTTTCAGGTTTACTTAGTACAGCTACCATAGCTAGTGGGGCCCACCTCCAGGGCTGCTGTGAAGTGGTACCTTTGGGGTGATAAGAATATTTTGAGATATGAAGTGAAAATATTTGATATGTGAACCATTTACCCAATGGCCCAGGTATGTCTTTGTCAATTGAAAGAAGCTTATATTTAACCTAGTTTTAGCTACTTAACTCTCTGAGTGTTGAGTCATTTCATTTTGTTCTGTCTCTCTTCTGTTCCCTCCTCCCCACTCCCTCTTTGTTCTCATTTGATAGCAAAAGAACAAAATATAAGGATGTAATTGGTGGGAAAATATAGCTATTTCCAGATAAGCAAAACATTTTTATCTGAGCTACCATCCAACTGAAAGCATTTATTATTACTATTGTTTGCTCTATCACTGTGACAGTGTAAAATGCTTTCTTGTGAGGAAATCTGGCCCTGTTCTGATTTATAAGTGCCTCCCTGAAGTGTTTTGTGAAATCATTACCTGAAGTGGTAAATAAAAGGGAGAGGAGTTCTGGTACACATCTCTATATAGTAAGGACCTCTGTTTCTCTGCCTGTCTTTCTAGAGTTTAAGGAGGGAGACAGAAAGAGAAGGAGACACTAAAGTGTGTGAGTGAGTGTGCACATATCTGTGTAGGTGGATGGTGTCCATATGAGATGTAGTCATCAATGTGCCATAGAGTGGAGAAGGAAGATCCCCAGTGGCATCAAATTCGACTTCACATCCTAAGCTTTCTGCTTAACCAGCTAGCCGTGTGACCTTGAGCAAGTTATTTAACCTGGATGTGTTTTAATTTCCTCAGCATCAAAATGTAGCTAATCAAACTTACCACCCATTAATGTATAAAGTTAATTTAGATGAAAAACAGTATTTGCATACACCCAGAAATACAGCAAGAACCAGTCACTTTACTCAGTCAGCCTGTAATATCCTTGAATATAGAAGTGAATTGTGTACTGAAAAGTGACTTATTTCAAAGCAATAATTATGCAGTGTCTGCGGCTGCATTTTAGTTCACTACTTCTCATTGAGGGGCATTTTAAGGATAGAATTTGCTAAGAAATGGCTGTATACTTTTGTGTGGGTTTCATTCATCTGCTCACAAAATGTCAATATTTTTTCTATTAATTAGCAAGCTCTATCTTTGTTAGTTTATATGTATTATATTATTAGATGAACAATAGACTTAAATGAAATTCTCAGGAAAAAATAGTTTTGTGTATTGGTAGTAGATACGTGTTCACCAATCATCTTCATCATTAGCATCAGCAGATAATGTGTAAAGGTATCCAAATGCACAGGATTCAAGTTACTGAGGAAACAAACTGTTCTGATTTGGCTGCTCTGGTAGTTTGATCACAACAGTGGTTCCCAAATCAGCCTGCAGGTCACACTTTCGGAACACATTTTGAATTAAGAGGTATACAAAGGGCCTAGAATATATATATGCATTCTTAAAATACTATAAAAGGATGCAAATGTAACCCATCGGTTTAATAAATAATATATCAACAGGACCCCAGAAATTGCCCATGTGTCCTTTCACAATTAGAACTAAACACATACCCACACCCCAACTACTGTCTTGACTTCTTCTTTCTTGTCTTGTACTTTTACCATCCATGTGTGCATCTCTGCCTAGTACAATTTAGTTTTGCTTAATTTTAAGAATTTATATAAATTGAATTATCTAAAATGTATTCTTTCAATCTGGCTTCTTTTATTCACTACTGAGATTTGTCTACATTAGTGCATGTAGATGAAGTTTATTCATTTTCCCAATAGTATCCCATTGTACGACTCTACCACAATTTCTTTATTAATTCTATTATAGATCGGTGCTTAGGTTGACATTAGTTTGAAGATGTTATGGACAATATTGCTATGAACAGTGTCTTTATTTTTTTTTCTGTACTGGGGATTGAACCCAGAGTCTTCATACTGAGCTACATCCTCAGCCCTTATTTATTTATTTATTTATTGGTACCGGGGATTGAACTCGGGTCCTTGTACTTTCGAGGCAAGCGGCAGAACCACTGAGCTAAATCCCTGGCCCTCAGCCCTTGTTTTTTAGAGACAAGGTCTTGCTAAGTTGCCCGGGGAGGACTCAAAATTGTGATCATCCTGCTTCACCCTCCCAGAGTGCGGGATTATACGCATGCGCCAGCACACCTGGCTGAACACTGTTTTGTATGTACATCAGTGGTTGCTCATTTTTTATTGGGTTCTCTCTCTTTCTTATTGACTTGAAAGGGCTAGAGGTATGTTGTAGACACAAGTCTTTTTTTTAGTCATATGTATTACAAATACTTTCTACTACGCGGCTTGCCTGTTTGCTTCCTCAATGACATCTTTTGATGAACATAAATATTCTTAATATTAGCGAAATCAAAATTAGCGAAATCTTTTCATTTATAGTTAATGTTTCTTTGTGTCTTGTTTAACATTTTTTTATCTTGAGGTCATAAAGATATTTTCTTATTCTATCTTCTGAAAGCTGTATTACTTTACCTTTCACATTTATTTTTTACAGCCTAATGTAATTTACTTTTGTGTGCAATGTGAGAAATGGACCAATTTCATTTCCTCCTATAGATAACCAATATACCATTTACTGAGAATGCTACTTAAGTGGTAAAACCAAACAAACAAATAAACAAACCCAAAAAACTCCCTGCCACCCCTACCCCCATTCCTTGCTTTAAAGTGCCTCATTTGTTATAAGTAAAAACGTCCATGTCTGGGTCTATTCCTAAGTTTTAGTAAGTTCTGCTGTCTGGTGGATCAAGTCCTTCTACATTGTTGCTCTTCAGATGTGTCTTTGTCCTTTGAATTACGTTGTTGTGTTTAGAAAACTACTTGTCAAGTTCCACAAAAACAAATAAAATAACCATTGGAATTTTTGTTGGGACTTATTAGGTCTTTTTTACTTTCTTTCAAGTGAGGTGTTTATAGTTTTTTTTTCCAATAGAGATCTCACACAACTTTTATTAGATTTATTAGGTTCCTGGGTACTTGATTTTGAAAAGGAATTGTAAATGTCATTTTTAAAACTGTATTTTAAACATTATATTGCTAGAACTACATAGAACTACAACTGTGGTATATATATTTACTTAGCAATCTTACTAATTGTATTCTTAATTCTAGTAGTCACTCTGTAGATTCTTTTGTTTTCTAAATTCATTACTCATCATTATACCATTGGGAATAATGACATTTTTATCTCTTTCCTTTCTAATTCTCATGTTTATCTTCTTGCCTTAGTGCACTGGTTAGGACCTCTATTGTACAAAGGTTTTTTTTCTTTTTGAAAATCTACTTTTTGGCCAATTTAATATGTCAAATTTATTAATTTTGTTTGACAAGTTTACTTTTTAAACAAACTATAAAATTCAAAAAGTACAAAAAAAGTGAATATATGCAAGGTCTTTCTCCTACTCTGGAATTTCATGGGCATGTTAAAATGATCAAATGTCTGACTCTCCCCTTGACCTGCTGAATCTGGAACTTCAGGCAGTGGAGCTTCACTGTGCAAATGTTTTCAAAGCTCCATGGGTGACTGATAATTCTGTGTGAAGACTGTTGCAGAAGGTTTGCCTATGCAGAGGTTGGTAGGATTGTATAGTACAGTGATTCTCAACCTTGGTTACATGTTAAAAACAACTGGGGCCTTAAAAAAATCCTGATGTCTGGCCTGGACCCTAGACCTACTGATCTGGATCACTGTAGGTGCATTCTTTTGCATCTGCAGTTTAAAAAATGTCTCCAGGTGATAAGGAGTGGTGTAAGGAGGGGCAGGATGAGACATTTGGGAGTGGTAGGTGTGTATGTACACAGTCTTGATTGTGGTGAGTTTCATGGGTATGTGCATACATCAAAACTTATCAAATTGCATGCTTTAAGTATGTTCAATTTGTTGTATGTCAATTATGCATCAAAAAAGCTGTTAAAGAAATGCCCCTAGTGTTCCTGATGTACACTAATGGTTGGGAATCACTGTGTAATAAAAAGGCACATGAGTGGGAGTGAAAATTGTAGAGAGTGTCATCTGTTCACCATTGTGTATACTTAGATAAGCATCTTTACCACCTCTGAACCTCGGTTTTATTCTAGTTGATGGATTCAGTTTCTTCTCAAGAACTTTTGAGCTCTGACATTCTGATTCTTGTGCTCAGCCTGGCAGTACTGGCTAGGCTCCTGGTGCACCTCCTGGCCACATGAGGAGCTGTGTAGTTGCCGATCTCTTTCCCTCAGTTGAACACTCCTGAGAGGTCAAAATAGGCCTCTCTTCTTTTCGTTAGTGAGTACTATTCCCACTTCTTAATCATCACAGTTAGTCATCCACACCCACTGGTCCTGCTGCAGGTGAACCCTTCTTTATGCAAAGTAAATCCATGTATCTCTAAAGATGCAAAACAGCTTTAATAAAGGATTCCAAGATTGTTCTGAAAATATCCCACTCTTCCAAAGCAATTAAAGTAGGATATAATTGAATTACAGTATGTGTATATGTGATATATAATATATATGTGTATATCAACATATATATTTATCTATCTATATCAGTAAGTGCATTAACAATATTACCCTGTAACCTCTAGGGAAATTATCTATCTGTATAAAAGCTATACTTGTTAGAGATGCAGTTTCAAGATATTTCAGGCAGTAAATATTGCTTAAGTGAAAAAAAGAAATCAGGCCAGGGATTTAGCTCAGTGGTGCTGCCGCCTGCCTTGCAAGTGCAAGGTACTGAGTTCAATCCCCGGTACCAAAAAAAAAAAGATTAGCAAATAAACTGTTTTTCCCATGGTCATATGACCATGTGTGTGTGTATGTATGTATGTATTCATGTATGTGTGTTTACATATACTCAGGTGAACAAGTTAGCTAATTTTTTTTTATGTGGAATCTATTCACTCTGGAATTAATTTCTATTTTTATGGGACCAGACAGGGAAAAAATTTGGGTGCCCCAGAAGAAAGAGATAGACTAGAACTAATATTGCAAAATGATCTTGCTATACCCTTAACTTTAACAAATGAATTACCTTTAATCTGGCTCAGAAATTAAAAACAAATGATTTTCTGATGTGCAGCAACAGCTGTGATTAAAAACAAAAAGAATTACTTACACACAGATTTTTCCAAATAGTTCTATGAAATCTTAACCATGAGTACTTCTGTCTTATTACAATTTTTTTCCATTTTGATTCTTAAATTTCAGATTATTCTATGAGCCAGTCACAACACCTTGTGGGCACACCTTTTGCTTAAAATGCCTTGAAAGGTGCCTGGATCACAATGCAAAATGTCCATTGTGCAAGGATGGTCTTTCCCAGGTAAACCAATATTTCTTTCTTAGTTGTATTAACTGTAGAATTAGATACTAAGAGTTTAACTGGATCCTAAGTCACTGTACTGTGCTAGAGCAAAACATGCCCTTAGGTTACTTTTCTCCTTGCTGAGACAAAATACCCAGCACCCAAAGTTAAAGGAGGAAAGGTTTATTGTAGCTCAGAGTTTGTAGAGGTTTCTGTTTATAGTTGGCTGGTTCCAAGGTAACATGGCATGATGGGGTAGGGGGCATCACAGAGGAGAAACAGTTCATGGTGGGCAGAAGGCAGGAAGACAGCAAAACACCAAAGTAGTGAAGAAGCAGCCAACAATGATGCCAGCCCTCTTTTTCTCCCTTATATTCCATCCAGGCTACACACCCTTAGGGTCAGTAGCACTCAAACCCAGGGACTTCCCATTATCCACACCCAGAATTATGCCAAACCAATCAATTGACTAATTTAATAATCACACAAAGTTAATCCCAGCACCACACACTCTAGATCCAGCCATCTTTAAAAAGCCCCACCTAGGAACACATGAGGTTTTGGGGGGAAACACAGACTCAAGCCATAACATCCTGTCCCTGGCACCCCAAAGACTCATGCACATCTCTTTATATAAAAGGCATTTAAGAGCTGCCAAAGTCCTAACAGTTTCAGCATTGCTGAAAAGTCCAAGTTCAAAGTCTCCTCTGAGACTTAGGGAAAACTCTTGGCTGCAAGCTCCTGTACAAATAAAAAGAGAGTTAAACGCTTCAAATATACAATACAATGGCAAGAGATAAATAGTCCCATTCCAAATAGGGCAATAGAAAGTAATAGGACTAACTATCACCACTCCTGCTCAATATAGTTTTGGAAACATTTGGCACAGCAATTAGACAAGAGAAAGAAATAAAAGGAATAAAGATAAGAAAGGAAGAAGTTAAACTGTCATTATTTGGTGATATGATACTCTACATTGAAGACCCAAAAAACTCCACCAAAAGACTTCTAGACTTAATTGACAGATACAGTAGAGTAGCTGGATACAAGGGCAACACTCAAAAAGCAATAGCCTTCCTGTACACAATTAACAGTCTCACTGAGAGAGAAATTAGGGAAACAATCCCTTTCACAATAGCATCCAAAAAATGAAATATCTAGGAATTAATCTAATGAAGGAAGCAAAAGACCTCTACAAGAGAACTACAACACTCTGGAAAAAGAGATCAAAGAGGATATAAGAAAATGGAAAGACAGCCCTAGCTCCTGGGTAGGAAGAACCAATATAGTGAAAATGGCCATACTTCCAAAGCTGCTATACAGATTCAGTGCAATCCCGATTGAAATCCCAACAGTATATTTCACAGATCTAGAGAAAACAATACAAAAATTCATTTGAAACCAGAAGAGACTTGGAATAGCAAGAGCAATTCTAGGCAACAGAGACATGGCAGGGAGTATCACAATCCCCAACTTGAAATTATACTACAAAGCCACTGTGGTAAAAACAGCATGGTACTGGCAAAGAAACAAACCTGAGGATCAATGGAATAGACTGGAAGATACAAAAATAACTCCAGACATACTCAGCTACCTCATCTTTGACAAAGGAGCCAACCATCCTCACTGGAGGAAAGATAGCCTCTTTAATAAATGGTGTTAGAAAAACTGGATTTCAACTTGCCAAAGATTAAAACTAGACCCCTATCTTTCACCATGCACAAAACTAAAATTGAAGTGGATTAAAGATCTAAATATTAAAACAGAAAGGCTGAACCAGCTGGAAGATAAGTTAGGTAGAACTCTTGAAGACAGTGGCATAGGAGAAAGCTTTTTGAACAAATCCTCAGTAGCACGGGAACTAGCACAAAGAATCAACAACTGGGATCACATCTTATTAAAAAGCTTCTACACTGCAAGAGAAACCACCAACAGAGCTAAGAGACAACCTACAATGTGGGAAAAATTGTTTACCAGCTGTTCCTCAGACAAAGGTCTACTATCTAGAATATATAAAGAACTCAAAACAGTCAGAACCCCAAATATAAAGACCCAGTTCAAAAATGGGCATCTGAAATGAACAGACATTTCTCAGACAAAGAAGTAAAAGCAGCAAATAAACGTGAAAAAATGTTCAACATTACTGGTCATTTGAGAGATGCAGATGAAAGAAACACTGAGATTCCACCTCACCCCAGTACGAATGGCTGCTATCAAGAAATCAACCAATAACAAATGCTGGAGAGGTTGTGGGGAGAAAGGAACCCTTCTTCATTGTTGGTGGGAGTGCACACTGGTTCAACCACTATGGAAATCAATATGGAGATACCTCAAACAACTAGGATTAGAGCCCCATTTGATCCAGCTATTCCTCTGCTGGCTATCTTCCCAATAGAATTAAAAGAGTCATATCACAGTGATAGATGCTTACCTATGTTTATAGCGGCACAGTTTGTAATAGCTAAAACTTGGAAATAGCCTAAATGCCCATCAACTGGAGATTGAATAAAGAAGATATGGTTTTTCTATAAAATGGAGTACTACTCAGCCATAAAGAATGAGAAACTAGAGACATTTATAGCTAAGTGGATGCACATTGAGGCCATACTCTTAAGTGAAATAAATAGGACTCACATGTGTAAATACCAAATAGTTTCTCTGATGTGAAAAACTAAAAGTGTAAATAAGGATCAAAATATATAATTGATATGTGAAATAGGAAGAAAAGGTCTAAAGGAGTAGGGGAAGTGGGAGGGATAGGGGAAAGAAAAGGAGGGAAAAGAAAAAATATGAGAAAAGAAAAAAAATGGAAACAAAGTCTTTGTAAATAGGGGAGGGAAGAGGGGGTGAAGGGAGGGCAGGGGAATGGGGAAAAAATAAGAACCAAGATACGTCATGTAAAGGTACAAGATCCCAATGATGAATGCAACTGTATTGTGTACTTAAAATGTACCAATAAACTAAATGGAAAAAAAAAAGAAAGTAACGGGACTGAAGCAAGTCCAAAATCCATCAGGGAAATCATTAAGTCCCATAGTTCCATGTGCAGCATCTGAAGCAATCTGTTGCAAGATGTGAACTCCAAAGGTCTTGGGTGGCTCTGCCCCTATGGCACTACCAGTGATTATAGTTCCCATGACTTCTCTCTTGGGCTGGCTCTGCTGCCTCCTTGCAGTTTTCCTCAGATGATCTACGTTCCTGGCCTCTCCAACCTTCTGGGGCCTCCACTGCATCTTCAGCTTCACACTCACAGCTTCACACACTGCCTGGCCTTCCAGATCTTCCTCTGAAATCTGGGTGGAAACCTTCTGACCCCACAACTCCTGCATTCTGCATGCACCTAAAACCAGCACCACATGGATGATGCCACCATCTGCCACCAGCTGGAGCAGTAGCCAGGCTTCCTCCCCTCTTGGCTGTAGGGGTCGAGTACCTGGGTCGCTGAGCACTGTGAACCCAATCCTGAGGAACAAATTTTCTAGACTGCCACCATCCTGGATCATAGTGCTCTGGGCCTCTTTTCTCAAAGCAAATTCTTTCAGTTTTGCAACCTTGAGGCTGCAAAGGCTGGGGTCGCGCTGCTTTTTATGACATCCTCAGGCCATCTTTTCCATTGTCCTGTTCTTTCTCAGCAACCAAGTTTTTCTCTGCTCTATCTTTCCAGTCTGCAACTTTACCAGAGCTTCCTTTCTGGCCAAACTCATATTTAAAATCATTCTGTTGGGCTCTTTGCTCTTGATTCTCAACACAAATCTAGCTAAAAGTCCACAACAGTAGCCATGCCATGGCCTCAATGTTAGACTGCCTTGAAATTTCTTATACAAGATTAACTAGTCCTCCATCTTTATTCTCAGTCTCAGCCAAAGTTTCTGGACCTGAGTAAAATTCAGGCAAATTTTCTGCCAAAGCATAACACATATGATCTGAAGTCCAACAGTCAGTCAATGCAGTCCTTCAAAACAGAAACCTCTGGAACCTGGTCTTTACCAGCAGCATTTCTATCTGTATTCTGATCTTCTGAGCTCTGACCAGAACATCACATTAAGTACATCTTAAGGCATTACAAGGCTACTTCTTCAGCCAGCATCTCCAACGCTTTCCAAACCCTTCCCACAAGCTAGTTCCAAAGGCTCCTGAACCACATGGTCAGGTATGGTCAGGTATCGTCACAGCAATGACCCCACTTCTCTGGTACCAAAATCTGTTTTCCCACAAGCCAGTTCTAAATCTAACCACGCAGGAGTCACTATACTAGTTAGCAGATTCTTGGGTACTTGAAAAGCTCTGGGGCCTCTAGGTTCTTTAAAATCAATCACACAAAGTCCTACTTTTGTTTTGCAAGTGGGCGTGATAGAATTTCCTGTGGTAAAAGAAGACCCAGGAATCTTGTTTTCTTTCCTTCAGGGACGTGTGTACCACATTTTACAATCAGTATTAATGTTCTGTGACCCTTGTTATTCCTGAGGAGAGGTTGGAGATCCAGGACAATCTCTACATGAATGTAGGTCCAGAGAAGTCACAAGTTAAGCTTTCCCCAAACCCTAAACATTTCCTGTAAGGGAATGGAATGAAATAATCATCAAGGTTAGCTTTGAGGGTGTGTGTTTGGAAAAGGTCAAAGCCATCTCTTTCCCTAGATAAATGGGTAAGATTTGCTGATCTGTTTGTAGATGAGAAGCCCAGTGGTCCTTATACTTAAATAAAATATCTGTGCTGTGATAACAGTACAAAGTTGAGATAAGCAGAAAGAAGGAAAGTCTTCCCATATGCTCAGCACCTAAACAAAACCACTGTTGACATTTTAGGATGTGCCCTTCTAGGGTTTTTGTTATAGCATCACCTCCTTCTTGGATTGAATGCCTTCTGAGCACCCCCGGACCCCACAGGGACGGAGTAACACAGTTGGTTCTCCTGTAGCCACTAGTGGTGGCTGCTAAGGCACCAGGATGCATATACTGTGTGGTCCTACTCTTAGGGGCTAGAAGATACTTTCATCTCTCTTTCTACTAACACAGGGTCACACTTACACCATTGTATACAGAGAGAAGTATTTCAATCATGTCCATTGCAGAATAGAGACTACCAGTGCTGGTAAAGAGACGAAATTGTCTGAAACCAGCAGTTTTATGCTCAGGAGCTCTCCCTGGTGGGTCTGTAGGAGTAGTTTCCACAGCAGTTCTCTAACATTGGTGGTTTGGTTGACACCGTCAAATACCTCTACTTGCACATCCCTAAATATGTATGAGGTAGGGATGTTTGGGAGGAGAGTAATAGTGACAACAAAGTTTGGTCTGGTTCTGAAATTATGATTATGTCATAATTTTGGTTACATAGGTGGCATATTAGAAAGGCAGATAGACAAAAATAATCACCAGTATTTAGCTGTTTGGGTGTCTTTAAACTAAAGGTAGAATAAAATGTATAGACTTGGGAATATCCAGAATCCAAGCATGGGGTGGAGTGGGATCTAGTCAGAGCATGAAAGGCTCGATGAACATTGCTTTTTAGTTCCCCAAACCTTTTGACTACTGACTTTAACACATTCCAAATAGAGACCAAAGAGCTTATAAACAAAATAATCAGAGAAAAGAGAAGAGAGGATCACTTCTTCTTTGGGCAATGGAATGATTCCTATTTCAATGTTTTAGGAAATCTGTGCAATTCAGGTTCCTTCTCTGTTAAAATATTTTTTCTAATTATTAAGGTAGTCACTTGCATTTTTTAAATTTAAAAACTAAATCCTAACATTCAGATAATTCATATGAGAATTCATATGATAGTATTACTACTAAATTATGGATCCAAATTACTCCAATATGTGAGTCATTTGACTATTTTACCGATTGTATTGGAAGTCCTTTGTGTTTTTCTGATGACTGCATAATATTCAATTACCTTGTTCCCTATATAGTGCTTGGCATCAAGAAAATACAGCAAAAATGTAATAATGGAAGAGCTAATAGCTAAATTCCTTCCAGAAGAACTCAAGGAACGAAGGAGGCTTTATGAAGAGGAAATGGAAGAACTCTCTAAGTATGTATATGTATATGCATGCTTCTGTTTTCAGTTTCATCTGTACCAGCTCATGAGAGTTTGAATGTACACATTTCTTCCCAGCTCCTCATTCAGTGATAACACATTGGTATCTTGAAATCGGCCATGATGAGAGTATTTACACCGTGGAAATCACCAAGTGTTACAAACTAGGGCTTCCTTCTTCCCCAGAAAACAGTTATCCATTTACCAGCACACCACTGAAGAAGCATAAGTCAAACCAATGACAGGATGCATCTTGGCACCAGTCACAGGATGTTGCTGGCAGGAGTAAATTGGAATGGCTTAACCAGGAGAATTTATGACGTGTCCAGATTGCCTGCAAATACATAAAGAGGTGCTACAAGGTTAAGAATTTTGGTACTAGTCAGGCCTGGGTTTTAGATACAGTTCTATTGAAATATGAGAGGACTTCATGACCCTAGGCAGATCATTTCACTTTTATGAGTCTCAGTTTCCTCACCTATAACTTGGAGATAACAATAATTCTTACCTCATGGGCTTATGAAAAACTGATGCGCTGGTACATGGTTAGCATATCCTAAATGGTAATAGCACTAATACTTGTTATATGCTTGCCCTACTGTGCATACATGAGAGGTGATGGCAAGGATGGCAACAGACGTGAGGCTCCAAGCTCTCTGCCTGATCACTTGGCAGAGCGAGCAGGAGATGATCGCGAGTTTCTGCCCCTCTTGCTGCTGCCCTGCCCTCTCCGCATCCCCAGTGGAATTCTCACAGCATTCTAGAGGTGCAGTCTTGATGACAAAAGCTGTTCTGGTTTTATGCCTACCTTGTAAAGAATATTTGTAAACTCCCACCAGTTTGTTTGAATGTGCCTCTCACTTTGAATAATGTTTCCCCCAGAAACTAGAAGTCTTTCATTTTCGCATTGACTTTTATTGGAGTTACTCAGGGCATCTTTATATTTCATTCTTGTTCTCAAGTTAACATTGAGGTAACCCAAATATCACTTAAATACTTCAAATAACACTTAAATTTTATTAATAAATACTGGAATATACTAGGGGAATTTCTGTTTAAAGGAATCCTAAATCTGACCTTTTTGAGATTTGGGCAAATGATCTTATATTGCTTGGTAGGTTTAGATGCAGATGTTCCTGCATTAGATTTACTAGACAAATAAGACAGGGCCCCACAAGGACCTGGCATAGTTGAGGGTTCCCTGGTGGGCTATGTGTCTGAACCTTTGGGGGTACTTTTTGAAACGCAGACTCCTGGGTCCTAACTTCAGGGCTAATATGTCATTATATTTGGGGCTATGATGGCCCAGTCATCAGGATTTAAGGGTCTCTGGTGACTGACGTACAGGAGCACTTGAGTATCACTGGGCTAGATTACTCTTGCCTGCTTCTTGCTTGCTTCTCCTCTTGCCTGGGCTTCCTATGCACATTCTCTGGGGGCCTTTACAAATTTGAGAAGTTCATGAAGACCTTGCAGAGAATTTCTCACCCCAACTCTGGAGAGCTGTGTGCACTTATACCATCCATATCTTTCCTTCTTCAACAAAGAAATCATTTTGAGTGCAGAGATGAAAGAAAGAAAAAATATGCAGCATAGCTATCTCCCACAATGTTAAGGTACTAAAAAACTTCTTCAGCCAAAGGAGAATATGTGCAATGCCAATGTCAGTCTCAGCCTCTGCACCAGATAATGGGACTCAGCCTGTGGTGCCTGTCCCATGTCAGTGTTTTTCTATCTGCCATCAAAATCTGATGGCTCCTTGCCTTTACTTGGGGGTAGGTGAGGGGTATACATGGTGATGTTTAACCAGCCTTTCTGTGCCTTGCCTCATTGCTTTGAGATCCATCTCATTTGCTCTTCTTGACAGCTTAAATAAGAATGTGCCTATTTTCGTGTGTACCATGGCCTATCCAACCGTTCCTTGTCCCCTGCACATCTTTGAGCCTTGTTACCGCCTGATGATTCGGAGATGCATTGAGACAGGCACGAGACAGTTTGGCATGTGCCTTGGAGATCCTGTCAAAGGGTAAGTGAAGAGCCCTGGGAGTAGAGGGCCCTTGGGTAGAGAAGGATTTCTCTCCTTGAGGTGCTCACAGAGGTGGGGAGCTCATGAGGTTTAGCCAGTTCAAGAAGAAGAGCACTTGTAAGGATCCCAGTTCCTCTGGTGCCTCGTTTACTGTGTGAGAGACTATCTATGTAAAAGAAGTACACAATCTTTTGTTAAACAGGTGATATATATTATAAACCTTGTTTTCTAGGAGTGTGGGCCCTGGAGTCAAACTGCCTAGGCTCATATTCTAGCTCTAGGCTTGGAGCAAGTTTAACTTGGGGCAAGTTACTTAACCTTTCTGCATCTAGTTTTCTTGTCTGTTAAGTGGGTATGGTGATAATGCTGACCTCATTGAATTTGCTTGTTGGGGGCATTGATGAGTTAATAATGCACAAAAAACACTAAATGAAATTCCTGGCTGGCTGAGTCCATTTTGGAATACTCTAACAGAATACCATAGGCTGAGTAATTTATAAACAATAGAAGTGTATTTGTCCTGATTCTGGAAGCTGACAAGTCCAAGATCAAGGTGCCAGCATCTGGTAGGAGACTTTCAGATGTGTCATAACATGGCAGAATGGAAACAACAGAGTGAGAGAGAGGAGGACCAACCTGTCCTTTTATAATAAATGCACTCCTGTAAAACAGCATTGATCCAGTTTGAGGACAGAGCCCTCGTGGCCTAATCATTGCTTAGTGGTCAACCCTCTTAATACTCTTACAATGGCAATTACATCCAACATGATTTTTGAGGTGCACAAACATTCAAACCATAGCCCTGGAACATAGTATGTGCTCAGTAAATGGTAGCATTGAGATTTTCTTCATACACTGTATAGGCGCTCCCTATTCTGTAGTTCTAACTGTAGACCCAGGGACAGGTAAATAGGCAGAAGTCCTTTGAGGTGTACCACAGGGTTATATAAATGGCTAGGGTTCTGGTCTTGGGAAATGAAACTTATCAAAGATCTACTTTCTTGACTTTATTCTCAATAAACAGGTTTGCAGAATATGGCTGCATCCTAGAGATCAGAAATGTTCAGTTCTTTGCTGATGGTCGCTCAGTGGTTGACAGCATAGGCAAGAGGCGCTTCAAGGTGCTCCATCAGGGCCAGCGGGATGGCTACAACACTGCCGACATTGAATACATTGAAGATCAAAAGGTGAGGGTGGCCAGTGCCAAGAATCCCAAATCCAGCCTCTCCCTGTAACTTGGCATACAAAGATCACTGCAGGAGGATTTCTCATCAAACTTCTGCAGCAATGTTGAATGCTGCTGGATTGTTGTCCTGTTGCAGAATGGCATAGAGAGCACCCTTAGTCCTGGCTCTCTCTACTTAGCTGCTGAGTGGCAGAAATGCATAAGAAATGCTACCCCAGACCAACCCTGGGGCCCTCGCAGCCTAAGAGCTCCACCTTTGCTCAGGACACCAAGGGGTAGATCGGAGTGGAGTCTACAATGTGTATTTTATGTATCAATTTATTTTTATTATATTTTAAAACTTGTTTATTTTGATATCATTGTAGATTCATACATGCATTTGCAGTTTTAAATATGCAACTTGACTAAGGAGCCCTTTTCCTAAAGCAGAATCATCCATCATCATCCCCCAAAACAGAAAGATGACATGTCCAGTTAATCCTTGGTTTTCTGAGCTAATGGGTAGAAGAAGAGGTCAATAATCCCAATGTCTTCTGATATGTGTGGGATTACTGTGCTCTAAGGCAACACTGTCCAAATAAACCTACATGAATTAAAAATTAAAAAAATAATCCCATGTTCATTTATATTTACATTCACTGAGTCATATATTAATAAATATTTGATCAACCAAAAAATCTATTTGACTTTGAAGTTAGTTAAATACTGAAACACAGATACATTCTTGTATCTCTTCCCAGTGAACAATGGGAAAATAGATACAAAAATGAATAGGACAGAGGCATGAGCCATAATTTCCTGCTTTAACACATGCCTCCTCTCAGGCCTATTTGAGTCTCTGGCTTTCTATGTATCTTCCTGTTTCAGCTACTCTAGCCAGTCAAACCCTTCACCTTCTTCCCCCTCAGCCATGTTTATACAGTCCAGCACCTGGCTGTGGAGTGTTTCACGTCTCACACAGAAGGAAGCTAAGTGGGTGAGGCTTCCCGTAGAAAGGCAGAATGGATGCTGAAAGAGTCAGGTGTCAGAAGCAACTCTGGGAGGCATGGACAATATACAGAATGTTTCACTTCCACTGTGATACTTTCAGGTTCAGGGAGAGGATTGTGCTGAGCTCATGGGATTACATAACTGTGTCTATGAGCAAGCGTCATCATGGTTTCACTCACTCAAATCATCTCTGAAGAATCGAATACTCAATCACTTTGGTCCAATGCCAGAGAAAGATGCTGATCCCCAGGTACATAAAATGTCTTTTTATACTGGGCTGCTCCACCAGATGGGAGTTCCTAAAATTTCTGAGTAAATTGGTGTGTGGTTTTTATCCAGCAAACAAATGCAAAAGGAAGGTGGATCCAAAGTGGTATTGTTTGGCTGGTCAGTGAGCATCATGGGCAGGAACAAAAGGATCCTAAGTTAAAACTGGAGTAACTGAAGTATGACATGGGCACTTGGATCCAAGGCACATGTTGAGAGATAAGCAAGGTGAGGGAATGGAACATAGGCACTAGCAGCAGAAGAACCTTCAATGAGAGTACACATTCACAGCATGGTAACATTAGGGTTACAAGATGCGTGCAGGAGCTAGGAGATAGGGCCAGGTACCCTGCAACTGCAAAGCCACAGAAACTTGTCATGCTCAGGCACATCCAGCTCAGTCCACCAAGTCTAGACCCTTGCTGTTGTCCACATTAGGGGTGAACAGGTCCTGAGAAAACTGACCCCATCTTTAAATTTACCCTTGGCTGAACTATCCCAGAGAATAGTTCACTGGATTTCACTGGGTAGGTCTTCTTCCTTGGGGAATAGGCTCACATATGAGATCAAGCAGCAGTCACAAGCCCTCTAGGAAAGTGGAGAGAGCTACATTTCACCAGTCTTTATTTGCTTGGTATACTTTCAGGGAATTCCAGCTTCAGAAAGACTTCCTTCCTAAAACAAGGCTGGAGATATCCTGAAGCAATATTTCCTTACTTCCACCATTTCCCATACCCTGAGCTGGCTCTCCTACACTCCTATGCCTTCTTTGATTCTTTACTTAGGCTCATCCCTGACTCTCTCACAATAGAGAAATATAAATCCATTATATTCTGGCTTTTCTGCTAATAGACTGGCTTTGCTTACCTTTCTAACAACATGACCTTGGTTGGGTAAATCCCTTTTTCTCACATTTTCTTTAAAATGAGAGAAGTGGATGGTGAGGTCTCTAAAGTCACCTCTTCTTGCATAATGAGGCTCCAAAGCACCTGTCTCATCTCTAAAGGGCTGAAATGTTTTGCTTTGCTCTAGGCCACAGAAGTGGCCCCTCTCTTCCTATGCAAAGAGATTATGACTTTTGAAGGGAGAAAGACCAGTGATTGCTTCCCAGTGACACAGCTTCTGGCTCTGGGCCATGGTGACTCAGGACTACAACACAGCTCTGAGAAAGCTCATGATCAAGCTTAATGTTCCTCTTCACCTACTGGGAAGCATTCTCCCCGTCGGACAAAAGAGAGATCACCAATACTAACTGCGTCTTCCACAAGAGAAAACACAGATGCCACACTGTGATGCATAAGGGCTTAATGATATAGAAAGCTGGAATCTTGGGTCTCCTTTCCTTTCCTGTTACAGTTTGTCATCATGTAGCTTTGATGGTGGCAGCACCAGAAAACAAACAAACAAACAAACCTGAAACCAATATGGTTTGCTATGGCCAAAGCTACGGCCCTAGCAGTCCCATGAATAAGAATAAGCTCAGGAGGAAGTTTCTTAGAAACCACCACATGTATTAAGCATCTTTGTTGATGATTCTGGGAAAGTTCAGAATGTCAATCTAATATTTGGAAGTGATCACATGTTACAGATTGCAGTGAGGGACAAAAAAAAATAATTCAGATGAAGCTAAGAGGCACAGAAAACAAAGAAAGCAATGAGATTTGGGGAGAATCAGATGGACCAATTTGGAGTGAAATAATCCTAGGTATAGGAGGTTGAAATAGAACATGGTTCTCTACAGTCCTAAAGTCAACTTTCTGAAAGTTGTGGGAAGAAAACTCATTTCAGTTTTAGTAAGAAATAAGTCATCGATGTCTAAAATGTATGCTCAGAAAGTTAATTATGCATAGAATTTTGGCAAAGGATTTATATGGGGTGAGAAAGCTCTTTAAAGGAAACCTGGGAGCTACCGTGAATGTGTTTTCTAATTGGAAATTTTGAGGTGTGAAGTTGCTGTTCTTTGCGATTGTAAATCACAGCTTCTGGTTGCAGAGGAGAAGATAGCAGAGGCCCTGCATAGTACCCTGGTATATCTGGACTATTGTCTTTAGCCAGAGCAAGACAATGAAGGGAGTTAGGAGATATGCAAAGCCTGAGGAGTCATGGCAGGTAAAGGCTTGCAGAAGTGTATATGAGTTCAAAGGATCTAGACAGAATCCCAGAAGTGGGAGAAACTAAGTAGTGGCTATTTTAGCTCATAAAATCACACAGGATAGAGGGCATGGTTTATTTGTTAGGATATTGGTCTGTTTTCTTTAACAAGTATTAAAAATGATTGTAGCTCAAACAAGATAGAGGGCCTAAGTTCTGTAGGACTAGGGCAGGTCTATTTCATGAGAATATTCAAGGAACCAGTCTCCTTCATCACAAAGCTCTACTGTCCATAGAATGTTGCCTTCATCCTCTTAACTGAGGAAGGCTGATTATCACCATGCCACGATCTAGCTAGGGGAAAGGAGAAAAAGAAGGCAAAGGGCACACGCTACTTTCCTAGAGCATACCTACAAATTACGCATATCACATCTTCCCTTTACATCTCATTAGCCAAAACTTTGTTTTATGGCTTCACCTAGCTGCAAGAAGGCTGAGAAATAAAGTGCCCTTGCCCCACTGCCGTGGTTATATGCCCTGCTAAAACAAAGGGGAAATAGATATGGAGGCAATTAGCAATCTCTACCACACACAGAAGCTGTTACATCCATTATATGTACTTTGGGTATTTGGAAATCTATGGACTGTTATGGCTTGCACGGGAATAGAACAAACTCACTGTGTTTCTCTCTTTCAGATTAACCCGAATGGCCCAGCCTGGTGCTGGTGGACATTAGCTGTTCTTCCCTTGGAAAGTCGAGCTCAGCTCCCATTTCTTGCAATGAGGTCCTTAAAGGATAGACTGAATGGTATTCGGCGAGTCCTGGCTTTTATATCCCGAAACCAAAACTAGTGAGAGTGGATTGCTGAAGAGAAGCTTCCATCCTCCCTGCTGCTTTGGGGAGGAGATCTGCTTGTAAATATATCTAATTGCAATAACATCTTAGCAGAAGAGGTTATCAAACAGAGGTGTGTTTCCCTACCTTTGATCACACAGAGAAATCGAGTAGAAAGACCAAATGAATGTGACTTGTTTGAAACTTTCTATTTTAAGATGCTTCTTGACATGCTGTACAACTACATAGACTGTAGTGGTGTTTAAGAGTCTAGGAAAAAAATCTGATTTTAACATGAGATTTTCTGGAAGTTTAACATGATCTTTCTTTAGTTTTTCTTTCTTTCATAGGTGAATGACTGTGTGGTTGAAATGTGAAGCAAAGATACTAATAATGTTGCTGCATTATTTCACTGACTTGAGTTCTCATTCCAAATGGTTGAGGTTTTATAGAGTATTGTGTAAAATAATGTTCATACTTCTTTCTGTTTTAATAATTTATTTTTTGCACTACTGTATCCTTTTTTTCTACATGTATGTCTGTAACTATTTAAGTGCTGAAAAGTCCATTGCTTTATTTATTGATGTGGTTTACCATGTACCTAGGGGGAATCACAATACTAGAAATGTGCAATTTTTGCTTTGAAAACTTTTTACTACATTGATCCCAGTTCTTGAACTGTTTCTATGTCTACCCTAGTAGAAGTTTAAAAGGACTTCAGAATGATGCTAAGATCATCCATCTTCAGATTCTACTTTTCTAGTTTTAATTAAATAACATGAAATACTTAAGCGATTTGGCATAGATTATGGGGTATGCAAAGGTAAAGTAAAATAATTAATTTTCTTTGTGTAATACAGACCAAGGCTGAAAGAATTATTGTTCTAGAGCCATAATCAGAGAGTGTCTTTAATTAAAACATACTATGGGCATTTATTTCAGCAATCTGACTAGAAGTGATGGCTTTCAAAAGTATAGCAGGTCACAGCTATTCCCAGCCAGCCTGCACACTCCATGTCTTCTCCGTGTGCTGAGGATGAAGACCTGTGCTGAAACACTTGATGAAGGACTATTTGTTATTAAAACTGTAAAGAATCCAGGTAGGTAGGACCCTTTAAAAATCCAGTATTTTAAAATAACCTGACAATCTATGGTTTTATCAAAACACTGCCTTTCCTTCTAGTTACAGTGGGCCAAAGATTTCAATATAGGGGAAGAAAAAGGAAGTAAAAGTAAGCATTATTTAGCTTGCTTAGTGCTACTTTGATTCCTTTCATATCCAAAGAATCTGAAAAATACCATGAGTATAGGAGAGTCATAATGTCAGAGTGAAAAGATTAGGGCCAGGAAGAAGTGAGTTGTGGCATTTGTACCTTCATGTAGATTACCCTCCCTTGTGTGATTCTGGCTAGGTGTGCTATCCACTGGAAGCTAGCCCACTCTGTTAAGGTGAGAGAGTTGTACTTCAAGTAATTACAGTAAGCCCCTGACTTATGAATGAGTTCTGTTCAAGAATTGTTCATAAGTTGGATCTGTTTGTAACCAACAAAATGAGTCTCATACAGTACACCTGTCAAAGTTTGCAACTTGAATGATCGTAAGTCAAGGACTTAATGTAGTCTGACTTCTATACCACCAGTGGCCAGAAATAGGAATAGGCAAATGAGATGATCCAGATAATATTTAAGAGACTCGTGTAAGCAGAAAGCACACTATCTTCTCACTTCTTAGTGGATGTTGAGTTGGCAGTGCGTTATGTTAACAGGTTTAATGCCTGGAATATACTGGGCTGGAGAAGAATGCAAGTAGAGTAGATGGAGTGGAAGGACCTGTCTGCCCAGGAAAACTCTACAAGGCTTAGGGTACAGGAAATTAGAGCCCCTTTGCCCATCCCCAACCGTGTGTATATAATCTTGGTACAACAATTTCTTATAGTGTAAAATCAACAAAGAAGAGGTTGTAAACTTCTCCATTTATTAAATGTGTTGCTTTGACAAGCGATTTAACTTTGGCTGAGCCAGTTTCCTCATCAGTGAAATGGTAGTGAGAAATATTGCACATAGGGTTGTTATGAACATTAAATATGTCTGAAATCCCTTATCACGGTGGCTTGACTAGAGGAGATATTCAACACATCAGAGTTGGTCATAGTTACAGAATAGCCTCAAAAGCTATATTTGCAAAAACATTGCCTTTACACACAGCAATTACAACCCCCTTAAACTTGGTTGGGGGAATCTGTACCACTGATTTTTGATCATAACTTGATGGCTTACAGGTGATTCCTTTTTGGATTTATTCTGTTTGGGAAAATGAAAAGAGAACAAATGAAGGTCAGAGGTAGGGACTAGTACTATGCCAGCAAATGGTTTCCTGTTTTGGTAACTGCTAAAAAGCAGTGTTCCTTGGAAATCTAGCTTCTCTGATAGAATGGAAGCCTTAAATTCTAACTTCATTAGAATAACAAAATCATCACTTCTGGTTCTCCAAAATGTATGAAGAATCTCACCCATACCAGGATGATTGGATTTCATAATCTCTGACTTTTGTGCTTAGTTCATAAATGGTGAATTGTATTTCTTCATGCTGCCCAAAATAACAGACACAAAAAATGTATTGAGATCTTACCATGTACCAAATACGAAACAAGATGATCTCTCATAACTGAGTTTATTAAGTCACTTATTTCTTAGAAAGTAATTATTATTCCCATATAATGGATGAGAAAACTGAAGCTCAGGAATGATGAGTACTTTGTCCAGGTCATCTAGTAAGTAGTCAAGCTTGATTTTGAATGCTTTACTTTGCAGATTTAAAAAATTTTAAATCTTTATTGTGTTACACATAATTTTATTTAACAGACACAGCAGTCAAATCACAAAAGCACCCCAGAAGCTCCAAATGGGAAGATTCAGATGAAGTAAAATTCACTTATCCAGCACATCGCTACTAAGTCAAAAAAGAAAATTTGATTTCTTAATAATATTTCATGTCATAGAATGCCCCTTGCTAAGGGAGCACTCAACTCCAGCACATGTAGGTCCTGGTTAGGCAGAATTGCACTTTACTCCCAGTAGCCTAGATATGCAGTTGGGTTGTTTTACAGTAAGCTTATGTAATGGCAGGAGGCAGGCTAAACCTTGGCTGTCTTTGGGTTGTACTTGAACAGAATCATCGATTGGACTTGACCATTTTTACCACTTCTAAATTGGTTTTGTTGCCCAGCTCAGAAATAAAGGAAGAATGTATAGAGAAAAGACATAAATCTAAAATCTACCCTAGAAAAACATATCTTCCCCCTTGATAGATAGTGTCACTTGTTGGGTTGGTTTTCCTGTCCATTGTGACTGACTAGGTCTTTTTTTAGTAGGTTATTTTCTGTATGTATGTGTACGTGTGTGTACACATATATACCCGCATACATGTACCAGGTTGCAAGCAGACGTCATGCCTTTCTGCTTTGTACCGCACTACTGCTGCTAGCTAATAACCAGCAAAATGTAGAAAATGAAAAATGAAGAAATTAATTTTCTGCAGACAACTTGGAAACAAGAGCGCATACCCCTGACTTAGTGGGGCATAAAACTGACTATTTCAACAGCTAGCCTTTTCTGAAGGCTAACTGCTTCTAGCCCAGTGCTGCCTCTGCAGCAGGGTCAAGTGAAGTCATTGCGCATCTGGCACTTCCAGCTCTGCTGGTGAAGCTAGCCTGGGCTCAGATAATCCCCTGTGATGGCTGTGGGAGCAGCAGAGCTCTGAGGCCAGTTCACAGCAACCAGAGGTCTCTTACTATCAACAGATTGCATACTGTTGATGGACTGCAATCCACTGGGGACTGTGTTGCCCCTGCCAACTCCATTTCCAACAGGAGTATTTTATTCAGGGACTCCTTCCTCAAGTTCCCAACCTGTTGACTTTGCATCCATTTCTACTCACCTCATAGCAGAAGTATATGACAAATATGTCAGTGGAAGGCAGACCAAATACTGAGAAAGGGCCAGTTCTCAGCCTACTCTTGGGCCTGATGAGTGAGATTTTAGTTCAAGATTAAAGACAATTCTGAAAAGCAGCCAGCTTCAGGGGCTCCACTTTGTCCCATTTCTAAGTGCAGAGAGAAGGAAGGTAAAGGAGCCATGTAAAATGTAGGCATTCAATCCATTTTAGAGTGAACTCCACTTATCACAGTTTCACTTTAATAATCTGGATTGGGCGCATCCAGATGTGAGATGAGATTTTCACTTACAAGTGGGTTTTTTCAAACATGTTAATTTAACCTCCAGAGAGAAGTGCCTGTAATCTTTGTTCCTGGTGTTACTTTAAAGCTTTGCTATTCATGACTCTGTAGCTGTTTAAAAAACTTTCCACAGCAAATGTGATTAACTGTTTACAAAGCAACACTGTAGCTTATGCATCACTTTAAAAGTTGATTAACCATCTATTGTTAAAGCAATGACAATAAACAACAATGAAATAAAAAGAGAGCAAGTAGCTTAACATGGCACCATCAGCTTATCTTAAGTAAACTAGTTTTGTCATTGTATGCAGTTCTCAGTAATGCCAGGATTAAAATGTCAAGCAAGCTACTTAAACAGTGGCAGCTGTGGATGTGTGCTTGTTTTCCATTTGTTTGTCAAGCAGTCATTTTACTCTTGCACTGTAATGAAGGGAAATTAAGATATTGCTCCCCTATATTGCTATTCAACTACCTCTATATGCTTGATTTCTTTTTAGGGGTTCCCTTCTTCCAAGTCTGTATAAAAAAGTTTCAGCTCATCTACATTGTAATAGCAATGTAATATAGACAGTTTTTGTGAAAGTTGTTTGTTCATTAAAAAAAAGTTTCCTATTGTCTCACTTTGTATATAACAAAACTGTACTCATACCTTAGGAAAAGAATTACCTAATTCATTATTACTTTGTTGGAAGCTAAATAGAAAGGAAAGCTAAAGGAATATCTATTTTGTTCTTGTTCCTATTGGTTATAATACATTGATCAGAAGATCTGTTTAGAATCTAGGAATGTAGCTTAGTGGTAGAGGATTTGCATAGCATGTGCAAGGACCTGGGTTCCATCCCCAGCACTGCAAAAAAAAGTCCTTTATGGAAATAGACCTGCACTCAGACAGCAAATTCATATATGTAGAGGTGAGGCGGGTGTGAATGGATTAATATGACTGATGTGTTCTGAAACACTGGTCATAAATTAGGGTTTTTTTGTTTAAAAGCACCAGAAAAGTTTGCTTTGTAAAAATTCTGTTGATTTGTTCAGTAATGTGCCCCTAGTTTATTTGTAAATCCAAACACCCCTATATAATGTTTTCTTAAGCATTATAAAACGTTTAAAAAGCCAAGTGGGTGTTTTTATTTTAATTAACTATTTTATCAACAATAGCCTAAAGCTAAGGCCCAAAGCATGTACATGTTTTTGCACTGCTGGGGATTAAGCCTGGGGCCTTGTGCATGCTAGACTAGCAAGCTACTGGCCCCATCCCACCATGACCCTTTTTGATAGAAAAATGTGTAAAATTGATTGGGACAATGAGTGATACTGACTGAGCAAGAAAGCTTTAGCAATATCTCATGTTCTTTACAGTACAGATTTTTGTGCTGTGCCATTGATGGTTTTATACATGTTCTATTTTTAACATATATAAAAGTAGAGGGAAAAAAGACATGGGAATGAGTTAATTAAAAATGAAATGATAGGCTACATACAGTGTCACACTCCTGTAATCTTAGCTATTTGTAAGCCGAGGAAAGAGGATGCCTGGTTCACACATTTATTATTTTTTGTCTAAAATGTATATAATGTGTCATGTGCTGGTCTTCAGATTTCATTCTCTAGTGAAGATCTGTATGTACACATCAAAGTAATAAAACCTTTTGCTTTTCTTTTCAAAAAAAATGAAAATAGAGCTTTTGCAAATGGGAAAGAGATCAACAGTTGGAAGGAGCAAGGAGGGATGGGAGGGGTAGGGGATGAAAAAAGAATTAAGATGTGTTATGTACATGTACTAACTGCCCACGATGAATGTAATCATTATGTACTAACATGTACGTGTACTAATAAAAAAGGTACTAGTGAAAGAAGAGAGAGAAAGAAAAAAAAAAGAAGAAAGAAAGAAAGTAAATAAATTCTTCTTGGAGCTGATCTTGATCTGTGTAACAGAATCTTTGGGGTAATTAAGAAGAATTAGAATTCCTGCTCAGCCAGCCCCCAGAGGGAACACTTGGCTTGGCTGAATGTTGCTCACTTGTGCCCACTACCACTTTCTGGTTCTCATGAGATAGAGTACACTTAAGCCAAAGTCACAAGCTCCTTCCCAGACAGTCTTCCAACCAGAATGTGGGCATAGCTTTCTGTCTGAAGAACTGGATTGGACCATCTAAAAAGATGGTCCTATTCTCAGTTGTTCCCTAGGCCTTGAGTAAAACCAAAGCCAGAATTTTATTAGCATCCTCTCCTCTGGGCTCCACCCTGGCTCCTTTAAGTTCTCCAGGGCCAAATATGCCTCCCCAAGAAGGTACTTGTAATCACAAAATTAAATTTGAGCTAGAGGAGAGGAAAAATACTCTAAGCCCATAGGCTCCCAAAAGTCTAAAGTTTACCTTCTTGTCTTATGTTTCATAATCTTCAGTCCCAGGAGGGGCTGAGGTAGGACTGGAAGGGGCTGGTGTCAATACACTCCATATTGATTTCTTCTAGCTATCGCTGAAACGTCCTAGCCAGGTTTGTGCTCAATGTAGAGATACGCCCTGGACAAAGAGCCCTGCCTCCATATCTCTGAGCCCTCTTCTCCCACCCTTTCCAGTGTTTTAGTTATAGATTTTCCCATTTCAACTGATACATTTCCTGAATATCCTTATTTCTTGTCCACTTATGCACATATATTAGCAAATGTCATTGGTACATTAGCAAGCCCTAAAAATCACTTTCCTTCATACACTGAAGTGCAGCTCCCCAGTCGCATCTCTTTGGGAAATACTACCCACCTCTAAGGAAGTCAACAATTTTTGGATACAACCTGGACAGACAAATTAAGTCCCAAAATAGCCTACCTCCCCTAAATGCAGTTTTGCTCCAAATATTTTGCTTCTCTTGGATTTTAAAGGTGCATTATGCAAATGTTCAACACAGTCTTGGGAACTGGGGAGATCACTGCCACTTTGGCCTGTTAGGTTGCTGTCGCCCTCTCCTGGCAGGCACCTCACACTCCCAGGACCCTGTGTTCCTCTTGCAACTTCAAATGAACACTTGCAGAAAAGGACGAGTGATTAGGGCTGGGAGGGCATTATTACCACAAGTGGTGATAAACAGCTCTACTCTACTTCATTACAGTACTGAATTCCAGTTGGAGGGAGAGACAAGTGGGGGAGGGAAGAAGGAAGGGAAGAAAGGAAGAGGAATAGAGGGATACAATGGCAGGTTTCATGAGAGGCATGGTTTTGGAAAGAGTGAATTGTGACAACTGAAGTGGCTACCTCCTCATCTCCTGGGCAGAACTTTATGTATCTCCGTCCCATATTGACTGTAGACTTGACCTTCTGTACCCATTGGAGGTGCCACTTGTCATGTCTTCAGGATATATGAGATATAATTGAACAATACAGTGAATGGTAAAAACAAGTTTTTAACAGTAAAAGATACATTGTCATTAATCTCCCTCAAAACACTCTCATTTTGAACAGACTTATCCCAACGTTCTTTGCAATTTCTGAACCAGTTCTGGAAGTTCTTTCATGAGTGGCTTTAGTCACACTCTAGCAGCTGCCTCAATGTTCTGCATCAGTAAACAACATCTACCTTTCATGGTCATTTTCACATTGCAGAATGGCCAGAAGTCACACGGCACCAGATCCAGTGAATAAAACAGATGAGGACATACCATAATGTTTTTACAACCCTGGATTTCCATTAGATGGCACTTGAAAGCAGCATTCACTGAATTTTTGAACTCAACTCAGAAATACACTCCTAAAAGACTTCCAGAACTGCTTCAAAAAGTGGCAAGAAAAATAAGATATATATATTACAAGCAAGGGGAAATATTTTGAGGGGGATTAGTGGCAGTATGTCTTTTATCATAATAAATTTTTATCTTTTTCAATTTTTACTTTTTATTAGTACATGTTTATAGTACATAATGATTAGATGCCTCATAGGGTGTTGGTACATGTACATAACACATCCTAATTCTTTTTTCATTCCCTTTCCCCCTCCCTCTTCTCTCCCTCAATCTTAAGGTCCCCTTGCTTTTTGCAAAAGATCTATCTTCTCATTTCCTATTATCTATTTTTTATTTTGTTCTTTATTTATATTTAGGTTTCTCATATAAAAGAAACCATGCAATATTTAAGCTTGTATGCTGATTTATTTCACCTAATATTATGTTCTCAAACTGCATTTATTGTTCTGAGAATGACTGGAATTTATCCTTCTTCATGGCAGAGTGCATAAATACATATCTCCATTGTGTATACATGCCACACTTTCTTTATCCATTCATTTGCTGATGGACACATAGGCTTCCAAGATTTAATTATTAGGAGTTGTGCGTCTATAAACATGTGTATGTATATATCACTGTAATATGTTGTCTTTAACTCTTTCTAAAAGATACTTAGAAGGAGAATAGCAATGTCTAATGGAATTTTTAGCATTATGAAGAATCTCCAAATTGATTTCCTTAGTGGTTGTACAGTGGTACCTCATTTCATGAACTTAATTCTTTCCACAATTCTGGTTGCTAACCAAATTGGACAAGAACTGAATTAAATTTCCCCATGAGGTCAACATTGAACCTAACCACTGAATTTGATTTGTTTTGTGACCAGAATTGAGGAAAGAATTAAGTTTGTGAAACAAGGTACCATTGTACTAGTTTACACTCCCACCAACGATGTACAAGGCCTCTGCCTTGCCAGAATTTGTTATTATTTGATGTTTCGATGACAGCCACTCTTTCTGGAGTAAAATAGAATCTTGTTGTCATTTTAATCTGCCTTTCTCTAATGGCCAGTGATGTTGAACTTTTTTAATGTATTGATTGGCCATTTGTACTCCATATTCACAGAGGTGTCTATTTATTTTAGTTGCCCTTTTTTTTCATTTGGTCTTTTATTTTGGGGGTTTAGTTTTTTTGAATTCTATATATATTCTAGATATTAGTCCTCTGTCTGAGGAATAGCTGGCAAACCTTTTTCCCCATTCTGTAGATTGTCTCTTCACTCTGTTGGTGGTTTTTAGCTCTGCAGAAACTTTTTAATTTGATACAACCCACTTGTTGATTCTAGGTACTATTTCCTTTAAAACTAGGGTTCTGTTCAGAAAGTCCTGGCATATGCCTATGTCTTCAAAAGTTTTACCTATTTTATCTTTCAGCAGATTGTTTCTATTTTAACAAGTAGATCTTTGGTCCATTTTGATTTTTAGTTTAGAACATGGTGAAAGACATGGGTCTATGTTTATTTAAATCTTCTACATATAGATTGCCAGTTTTCTCAGCACCATTTGTTAAAGAGACTGTCTTTTCTCAAGCTTATGTTTTTGGCACCTTTGTCAAAAATCAGATAGCTGCATGTGCCTGGGTTTGTTTCTGCATCTTCAATTCTGTTCTATTTATCCCTGTGTCTGCTTTTTTGCTAGTACTATGCTGCTTTTATCACTGTAGCTTTATAATATATTTTGAAGACCAGAACTGTAATGCTTCTTGTTGCCCAAGATTTCCTTCACTATTCTAGGTCTCTTCTGTTTTCATGTGAATTTTAGGATTGTTTTCTCTAGTTCTGTGAGGAATGCTATTAGTATTTTTATTGAGGTTGCATTAAATCTGTGTATCAGTTTTGGAAGT